AATATATTGCTTTAATTTCTTAACACCTTTCTGAACATTTTCACATCTGCAACCTCATTTGAAAAAGGCATTGTAGATACTTTATGAAGATGGTGGAAAGATCTTTTTGATCCTTAGGAACAATGTTGCTTCTCTGGTTAATTAATGGGGAGACTGAGGGAGGAGAGAGATTAAAATGACTCCTTCAGTGTCACACTTGTTAGTTTATCAAGTCAGTAAGAATCCACACACCTTGGATTACAGTTATTTTTCCATTGCGTAATGTTGGTTACTTTGTTACCTCCATCATTCACTAAAAAATTGATTTAACTACTTTACCAATCACCTAGATCACCTAGTATGTTCTGGCAGTAAAGCATGGAGCAAAAGAGATAAAAATCCTTGCCCTGGGCCTCCCTGGTGGATCAGACGGTTGAGCGCCACGCAGCCTCTGCAGTGTCGGTTCGATCCCGGCTGGCCGGTGAGACTCCCACATGGCGCGGCAGACCTCTCCTGTCTCGCCCGCTGCTCCCCTCAGCAATGTGTTTCATCAGTCTGCCTGTTCTGTTCCCCGCTCTGTCTCTGGTGAATCCTCGTACCCTTCCGCGCATCTGGCCTGTACCCCAATTCTTGTATAAATAAAATAAATCTCTTTAAAAAAAAATCCTTGCCCTAAAAAGTACAAGAGACTATGGGGGTGTGTCACTGGTGCAGTGGTAGTGGGGGAAATATTTGAACTACACCTGAGGGGATAAATCTAACATTGTACAAAAAGAAAATAAATTAAAAAAATAATTGAATACCATATAAAGTGTATGATAAAGATCAGAAAAATCCTTGCCCTGTCAGTGCTTACATTATTGGGTTGGTTTTTAACAAACCTTAAGACTGGTGCCTACTGAAATAGTCTTTTAAGGGTTAAGATCTTTAGCCTTAAATTTTCTTAAGCTATTAAGCAGCACATTTCAGGACGTTTTCTAAATTACATATTTTTAATTTTTTTGAAATCAGATCTTAATTTATGAAAATTTTATTTGTGTTCTCTACTTTAGAACACAAATGTTTGAGTTTAAAACATAAAACTCAAAAAATGTTTGAGTTTAAAACATAAAATTAAGTAACTCATTGAGCTGTCATGGTTTCTTTAGGATAAACAATTAGATACCTAAAGTAGATTCTTGTCATTGATATTAACCATCATCCAGTCTCTTTTTATCATGTAAATCTGAGTGACTTTTGCGCAAAAGTAATAGCATTCTGGTCATCATATTTGTGAATATTAATTAACGTGGTCATTTTTTTTTTTTTTTAATAGAGGCATGATTTATTTATTTATTAATTTATTTGTTTGTTTGTACAAGCACTGGGTACAGTCAGAGGCGCAGGAGGGTGAGAGAATTCACCAGAGCCAGAGCAGGGAGCAGAGCAGGCAGAAGGACAGAAGTACACTGCTGAGGGGAGCAGCGGGCGGCAGGGGAGGTCTGCGCGCCATGTGGGACCCTCCTCTGGTGGCCGGGGAGCAGCCGGGTATCGAACCGGTGCCGCAGAGGCCGCGGGCAGCTTCGCAACCCAGCGCTCAACCGCTGCGCCACCGGGGAGGCCCTAACGTGGTCATTTTAATGTCTCTTTCCTCCCTTACTCAGAAATTTAATTGTATGTTCTTCCCTTATACAGACATCTGTATTTTAAAAAATGTTCCTGTACATTTAAGAGCATGTCATTATCTTCACACATAGATTTCTTGAATTTGACATCTTGGAAAAAAGTTGTGCTAGCCTATTTGTTGCAGTTGGTCCTTGTCAGAAATTCACAGAATTGTGTTTTGTTTCTTTTTCTATATTCAGAAAGGATCACATAGTTTTGTCTCTTGCATAGGAATTTTAATAAACTAAGAATTTGAGGATCTACAAAATTTCCTTGATTGTTGCTGCTGTTGTCATATAAAGCAGCACCTGTGTGATTGAGCCACAAAGGTAATCCTTTATCATAGGAAGATATTTTCGTTCAAACCCTTGAAAATTTATAATTCAGTCATAATAAAAACCACTGCTCTTATCAGAAAACTTGATAACTCACTTTTATTTTTTGAGCTGCTTTGTATTCATTTGTTAAGAAATGAAGCCCAGTGGATCATGTTATTTTCAAAGGATATTGTGTAATTCCTGCTGATGTTTTTTTTTTTTTTCATTAAAGTTTTTTTTTTTTTGTATCTTGTAGCAAAAAACTTGCATTGATTTCTTGGAATAGTCAAAAATATTTATAAATTGATCTTGTCCCCTTTCTACTTGTTCCAGGGTTTATTTTGAAAGAAATGTTTTTGAATGAACCTGGTGCACAAATACTGTAGTACTAAAAATTGTTTGTCATCCTGAGGAAGCACAGTTGTCTTTTATATAAAGCCTGTCAGCAGTCCTAGGTTTAAGTGCTTAGAAGGGTGCCTGTCATGTCTAAGTGCTGTGTGGATGTTTTTAAATGTTTATCATTGAAATGTCAGTTCTCTGAGAACAGGAATTTGTTTCGAATAATTAAAAATCAAACTCCCAGATTACAGGTTTTTATGGAATCCTAGTTCTAAGAGAATATTGGTGGTTTTAGTCTGATTCTGTAAACTCCTATGAAGTCTGGAGAAACTCCTTGACTCCTAAGTTCAAGTAACATTTGATCTGATGGTGCATATTAAAGCTCTGTGAGGGGAAAAAAAAAGACTTAAGCAGTAGTTGTTCTGAAAGGAGATTTTGTTTGGTGGAAGTTCTAGGTCCCTTCCTGTTAGAAATGTCTGTGTCTGTCCCTTTTCTGGTTTGGGACAAGCTTCTTAATGTGCCAAAGCTCAGCCTTTCTGATCAATTGTCATTCATCTTTGGCAGCAGCAAATAATAGGGTAGAAAGACTCCAGACATCTGTTATCAAATACTGCCTGTGAATAGATAAGAGTTGTTTATTTGTCCAGGTGTAAAATGGGGTACTAGAGGGAGTTACCAATTTATGCAGCTGGAGACACCCCAATAGCCCCTTCCCCCATGGTATCTTTGAACATATATGCAAATTCTTTCACCCAGAATACTTTCTCCCATCTTCTCAAATATCTGTTACATCTTAGCTCAATAGAACTTCTCTTGATACCCCAGACTAGATCGCATTTCTCTCTTACACCCTTTATTTCCCTTCATGACATTTTTAACTTTTATAATTACCTTTTCTCGTGCATCTTGATGCGTTTGCTGCTGTCGACGATGAAGGCAGGGACTATATCAGTCTTCATTACAGTCCCCTGATGAGTTTCTGGCTTGAAGAGTGATACCACAAAAGTACCCGTTGAATGAAGGAATCTTCTGACTTTGAAATCCTGCTTCTGAGCTGGACCAAGACATTTCTTTGTAGCTATTTTCAGATTGTTGTTTTGATGCAGAGCAATTATTCACATAATTGAAACAACTGATTGTATTAAATTTAAAAAACTTGAAAGTGCAACAATGTGTTCTTTGAATCTTGTTTAAACCATTCATGTCAGAATAGCCAAGTGGTCTGTGAAAATTAATACTTGTTCCTTCTGCCTGCCTTCCTAATTGTTAACTTTTGCTTTAGTCTCATATAAAAGCCTTCTGAAACTATTCCTCTTGGTAATAGACATCAGTCTTATTAGCAAGCGGTACAGAAGATGACATAGGACACATTCACTCTGTTGATTTTAGGTGCTTTTTGAGTTTTCATTTGTATCATCTCCCACTTAAATGTTGTAAGTGAAGTCTTGTGGGAATGCAGAAATGCAGTTTGGAGGTAGCCCATTCATCTCTCTTCCCCTCATCCCCTTCAGTTGATGTCATGTTCTTCCTAAAGCAGAATTCTGATAAAATGTGTTGAATGACTGAGAGAAAACTAATAATCTGTATTAACTTGGAAGCCACTTGGAAATCACAAAGGGTGGTTCCTCCTTATTTGCAAAATTAATTCGATTGAGCTGTTAAAAAAATTTGTGAGGGCCTCCCTGGTGACGCAAGGGCTTAAGTCTCAGTACTACAAAGCTGTTGGCAACCACAGCAGCACCAGTTCTTTCTCGATCCCCCTGGCTGCGCCACATGGTGCAGCAGACCTCTCCTGTCTTGCCCACTGCTCCTTCAGCAGTGTATTTTAGTCAATCCGTCTGTTCTGCTCCCCACTCTGTCTCTGGTGACTCCTCTCATAGCTCTAGTCTAAACCCCAGGTCTTGTATGCATAAAAAAAGTAATTTGTGAGAAGCAAATTTATTAGACATTTTTTAAATAATACAGAGGGTGTGTGTGTGTGTATGTGGGGTTGGTGGTGAGGATGGGGCCAGATTAACTGGGTGAGTTAGGAAGAGCTTTACTTGCTGCCTAAGTTTTTTAATTAGATGGCTTAAAAATAATTGGCAAACTGGGCCTCCCCTGGAGGCGCAGTGGTTGAGCACTGGGCTGCGAGGCTGCCCGCAGCCTCTGCAGCGCCGGTTCATTCCCCAGCTGCCGGCGAGGGTCCCACAAAAAAAAAAAAAAAAAAAAAAAAAAGGCAAACTGAAAGCATTATTAATCAGATTTATTTCCAAGTCCTCTCCCTTTCATCATGCTATAATTGTTTCACCATTAAAATGAGACTAAGGACAAGAAGGACTTGGCAAGAGGGTAATTCTAAAGGAAGTGGAAATGGGGAATAAAAGTGCATATCTTTGGGCGTGCTAAACTATTGTTCACAGCCTCAAGAGAGAGGTTGTTGATGGAAAAGGCACGTGGTCTTCACCCTGGACAGGGTACTCTACTCCAGGAAGCAAAAATCCCTGGCTTCCTTTCCTGAAACAGTGAAAATAATATCTTTTTTGATATTTCATATTTATACCCAAAGATGCCTAAATGTTCTCTCAGTGTCCTCAGCAATCTCCCTCTCCCCCTTCTTCCTCTCAAGTGCTTTTTTTCCTGCCTCCTTATGGTTTGGGCTGATTTCTTAGTGAAATCATCCTCTTACTTTATGATGCAATTACCTCTGCAGCAGATTGATTTATTCATCTTTGTCTTTAGGTCAGTTCTGAACAGAGTTTGGAAAGTAGAGAAGAAAATCCAGTCTGCATTTTGAGGGAATTGGACAGCTGAATAAATGCAGGTATGTACATTTGCATATATATATTTTAAAGACAAAAGGAAAATAATTTTATAAGAATAGTGTAACTGATCTTGAACCTAATGGACCATTCTTTTATTTTTTTTAAATTATATTTTAATTTTTGTTTATTCCAAGTGTTGAGTGTGCTGGTTTAAATTCCCAATAGTGCAAAAGTACAGAAAATAACAAAGTAAAAGTTAAAACTCCCTTGCAAGATAGTTACCACTGTCGATAATTATTGTGTATTTTTCCAGATTATGCATATACATAGCCAAAAATTCATAATGTACATGTTATTGTGTACATATATATAGTATACATAATCAGTGTGACTTTTTGCGTTTACATGCCTCGTTTTGTTTAGTGAGTCATATTCTGTATAATGTTGTTGGTTGTATTTTTTCTATTTAAAATGATGCCATGGGGCCTCCCCGGTGGCGCAGCGGTTGAGCGCTGGGTTGCGAAGCTGCCCGCGGCCACTGCGGTGCCGGTTCGATCCCCGGCTGCTCCCCGGCCACCGGAGGAGGGTCCCACATGGCGCGCAGACCTCTCCTGCCGCCCGCTGCTCCCCTCAGCAGTGTACTTCGGTCCTTCTGCCTGCTCTGCTCCCTGCTCTGGCTCTGGTGAATTCTCTCACCCTCCCGCACTTCTGACTGTACCCAGTGCATGTATAAACCAAACAAACAAACAAACAAACAAACAAACAAATAAATAAGACATGCCTCTAGAAAAAATTAAAAAAAAAAAAAAATTAAAATGATGCCATGTGTACATATGTAATTGTGCATGTTTGCCTGTTTATTTCCTTAGGGTGAAAAGATATAATACCAATTTGAATTCTTCCCCTGCCATGCTGTATAAAATCTCAAAAACAGAGGGTTATCTTATCGTCCATTGTGAGGCCAGCTTTAGCTACTGTTTTCCATTTGTACTTTTCATTATGGGGTGTTGTTGGAGGCTGAGTGCTAGGTTTAAAAAGGTTTTGTTTGACGTTGATCTGAACCTCAAGTTAAGTTACGAGTTTAGTCTTTTGACTAAGTCTTTAGAAGATTCCGGTTTTCCAATTTATTTTGCTTATTAAAATTAAAATGCCTCTGAGTTTGTAGCATTGGGTCATGTCTGATTCACGTTCCTTTTGTGAGTATCTCACCTCACTAGGGTGATTAATGGACCAAGCATGTGAATTTGGTAAAGAGAAACTTGTTTTTGCTCTTTATGACTTTTTTTTTGGAAAAGCTTTTTTTTATGTCATTTCTTAAGTACCCTTTATACATAAGCTCTCTATTAGGTGCTGGAGATACAAAGGGGACTGACACAGTCCTTGTCCTCGGGGAACTTAGAGCTCATGCAAGTGAGAGAAACAGATACATGTGAATAAAACAGTCGTAATTCAGCGTGGTTAGTGCAGTGTGGTGTATTTCAGAGAAGGCTTCCTGGAGGAGGTGATGTGTGGGATGAATACTAAACAGCATTTTAGTTTTCCATGAAAGGGATGAGCTGGAAAGATGTTCCTGGCAGTGGCATCAGAGTGAGCAAAAGCAGGAAGGTGAGAAAAACAGCAGTGAGTCAGGTGGGTAACAAGAATGATGGTAGCTTTGTGGGTTTCAGACATGAATTGAGAGATAGAAAATGAGGCCTGTAAGGCTGGTTGGCCAGATGGTGGAGGGCCTCTGTTACGGAATTTAAGATTAGTCTCTAGGTTAATGAAGGATCTAGTTATGCCAATGGAGACAGTACTTAGGGGATTACATGAAGGTTGACTTGGCAGGCAGCAGGAAAGTAGGTCTTGGGATCTTAGAAATTAGTTGTTAATCAAATCATTGGTATTGGGGTGAGGAGAAGAAAGAATGTGTAAAACTGTTCTTTGTTCTTTCCTCCTTTGTCACCTTGCCCAAGGCTAACTTGCTGAGGTTGATTCTTTGATACCCTCTCTTTTGAGGGAGCTCCTGATGACTTACTTGCAAGCTTCTTACCAGTGTGTTCTGACCTTTTCAGAGCAAGGGTTCCCATCTTCATTCTGCTTCCCCATAATGCTGCCCATCTTCCCACCTGTTTGTGTCAGGTGATGAAAACCTGATTCCATTAATTAATTTTCATGATCCTTCTGTGTCACTTTATGAACATTAATTGGTAGTCATTTTGTGTCAGTATCTCAAAGCCAGCCATGGGCAAGGCTGGGGGCGGGGGGGGGGGAGTGGGCCATAAAGATAGATAAGACATGGAGGGAAAAAATATAATAAAGTAAAAATCAAAATCAACAGGAAACCAGAGACATTCTGTAAGGGAGGAGGAGGGAGAGGGATCACAACAGGGTTGGGAAGAGCACAAGGGACGGTGATGATAATGCACGGGTGAATTGGTGGTGGGAATTTCATGGGAAATCATGCATTGTACAAAAATGAAGGATGATGTGTTTTTTATATATTTATATATATATATATATATATATATATATAAAAGACGAGACATGGTTCATGCCCTCGCAGAACTTGCTTTTTAGTGGGAAATAGGCATAAAATTAAAGGATGATGTGATTCATGCTATAGGTTTGTTCAGAGGTTAAATTATTCCAGTTGGAGTAACAGCAGTATGGTAACAATAATGTCAGTGTTTCCAGAATCACATTTTTCAACTACACCTGTGTGTAAATAGAGAAAATAAAATAAATTTAGGCTGTTCTAAAAGTATTCTGATTTTGGTGAATATGTTTGGTCTGACTGTAATTAATTTGTATGCCTAATTGATTCTTTTCCATAGTTTGAACTCATAAGCTCTGATACATTTGATTTTCAGGAAGGAAAGGGGATGAGAGGAGTACTTATTCCATACCATGGATTTCTGTTTGCTTATCTTCATAACACACCTTTATTTCTTGAACTTTTTGCATGTAGAATGGGTACATTGTCTTATTTTCTTTCCACTACAGTATCTAAATATAAAGGAGGACTGCAATGCCATGGCTTTCTGTGCTAAAATGAGGAGCTCCAAGAAGACCGAGCCAAATCCGGAGGCCCCTGAGCCAGGGGTGGAAGTGCTCTTCTATCTCTCTGATAGGGAGCCCCTCCGACTGGGCAGTGGAGAGTACACAGCGGAGGACCTGTGCATCAGGGCCGCACAGAAATGCAGTGAGTTCTGGTGGCGCCCAGGGCCCTGGACAGGTTTGGGTGGCACATAGCACACTAAGCCCATACTTAAGCAGATCTGGATGTCTTCTGTTTCCCTTGTAACTCTACCGAAGGAGGTGTGGGCTCTGGGAGTCAGGGGTTCTCCCCCACCCCCAATATCTGCAACTTACTTGCATATCACCTTAGGCCAGTTTTTGAGTTATGAGTTTCACTTTTCACTTTCTTCATTGCAATGTAGCTTATTTCTGCTTGGTCACTATTGAGCACGTGGGATACTTGGAAATGATGCTCATCTTTTGTGGGGGCTTAATTTCATTTCCTCCCCACATCTGTGAAGTTAGAGTAATATCAGAACTAAATGAGTAAAGCACCTGGCACAGAAAGTTACTAGTTCAACAAGTGCTGTCTCTGTCTAAATAATTCTTCAAAATTTGTGGTCCATCCTATTGCCACTTTTGCCCTGCCTTCTCAAGGGACACCCCCTCCTCCACTTTCTGCAACATGAGGCTGAGCTTAAGTGTGAAGTTGGGTGTTGCTTTATAGCTTGGTCAGATTGCCAGGTTGTGAAATGGACAGTGAAGCTGTGAATCCTTTTTTTTTTTTTAAGTGAGGCTTGTCTTAACTAAGATTAACCTATCACTCTCAGAAGGTTGGAAACCAAACTGACTAACAATAAAAAGCTGCTTTCATTATCTTGAAACTTGGGATTGTTGGTAGATTTTGATCACCTGCTCTAGGTGATTAGTGAGGTTTAAATCATAAAAACTTAAAAGATCAGATCTATCTAGATTATGGGAAGGTCATATAACTCTGTGAATATACTAAAATTCACTGAATTGTATACTTAAAATTGGTAGACTTTGTGTAAATTACATTTCAGTAAAACTTTTTATAAAAAATCAACTCATTTTATGTTGGGGAAACGTACTGTGATGGTAGATTGCCTGATCCATGCTTTACTTATCAGAATAGCCCTCAGAAGAACAACTCTGAACAGATAGTATGGTTTTCTCAAGAAACACCTTTTTTGTTTGTAATATAGCTTGCCTAGAAAACCCATTTTGTTATCTTTCTGTCTTATGCTTTTCAAATACCAGCACTCCAATGTAAGGGGAGAGGCTTGTACTAATAGGAAGAATGTATTAGACTCTTGCCAACTAGAGATAAAACTAGATAAAATTGGCTAAACTACAGAGTATTAGGGGAAATTGCATCAATATTTTAAAGCTATTTTTAGATAGCAAAGTATATAAGGAACCACTCCTAGATAGCAGTTTTATTTATTTTTTTTTTAAAATAATAAATTTTATTTTTATATTCCCCCATACAATTGTAAACGCCCCATTCTGACCCCAATCCCTCCCCTCCCGCCCCCCACCCCCAAAAAGTGTCTCTGGTTCATAGTTTTTTGTTGATTTTGATTTTCACTTTCTTATAGTTATTCATTTTCCTGGTCCCTTATTTAAGTTTTCTAGATTCCTGCTATGAGTGAGGCCATCCGGTATTTTTCTTTTTCTTTTTGGCTTATTTCGCTGAGCATGATCCCTTCCAACGCCATCCATGTTGCTGCAAATTGCGTGTGTTTATCTTTTTTGAATGCTGAGTAATATTCCATGGTGTATATGTACCACATCTTCTTGATCCAGTCATCTATTTTTGGGCATTTGGGCTGTTTCCAAAGCTTAGCTATTGTAAAGAGTGCTGCTATAAACATAGGGGTGCAGGTGTTCTTTGGAATTGATGTTTCTGTGTCCTTTGAGTAAATACCTAGGAGTGGAATTGCTGGATCATATGGAAGCTCTATGTTTAGTAGGTCCAGAAATCTCCACACAGCTCTCCATAGTGGTTGGACCAGTTTGCACTCCACCAACAGTGCAGGAGAGTTCCTTTTTCTCCACACCCTCGCCAACATTTGTTGTTGCTAGTTTTTTTAATATGTGCCATTCTCACTGGTGTAAGATGGTATCTCATGGTAGTTTTGATTTGCATTTCCCTGATTACAAGTGATGTTGAACATTTTTTCATATGTCTGTTGGCCATTTGCATTTCCTCTTCAGAGAAGTTTCTTTTTAGCTCTTCTGCCCATTTTTTGACTGGATTATTTTCTTTGTTGTTGCTGAGTCTCATCAGCTCTTTGCAGATTTTTGTGATCAGTCCTTTATCATTAGTGTTGGGTGCAAAAATGTTCTCCCAGTTGGTGGGGTTTCTCTTTGTTTTTGTTATTGTCTCTTTTGCTGTGCAGAAGCTCTTTAATTTGATGTAGTCCCAGTTGTTTATCTTTGCCTTCACTATCACTGCTTTGGGTGATGTGTCTGTAAAGATGTCTTTGATGTGCAAATCCCGTAGTGTTTCGCCTATATTTCCTTCTATGTATTTTATGGTTTCAGGTCTTATGTCTAGTTCTTGAATCCATTTTAAGTTGATTTTTGTGTATGGTGTGAGGTAGTGGTCAAGCTTCATTCTTTTGCATGTAGCGACCCAGTTTTCCCAGCACCATTTATTGAACAAACTTTCTTTGCTCCAATGCATAGTCTTTGCTCCTTTGTCAAAGATTAGTTGACCATAAATCTGTGGGTTTATTTCTGGATTTTCTATTCGATTCCATTGGTCCGTATGTCTGTTCTTGTTCCAATACCATGCAGTTTTGATGATTATGGCTTTGTAGTATAGTTTGAAGTCTGGGAGTGTGATACCTCCATTCCCTTCTTTCTTTTTCAGGAGAGCTTTGGCAATTCGGGGTTTTTTGTGATTCCATATGAATTTCATCAATAATTGTTCTATTTCTTTGAAGAATGACATTGAAATTTTGATTGGAATAGCATTGAATCTGTATATTGCTTTTGGTAGGATGGCCATTTTAATAATGTTTGTTCTTCCAATCCATGAGCAGGGGATGTCTTTCCATTTCTTAGTGTCTTCTTCTATTTCTTTTAACAGTGTTTTATAGTTTTCTTTGTATAGGTCCTTTACCTCTTTTGTTAGATTTATTCCCAAATATTTGATTTTTTTGTTTCGATAATAAAAGGGATGGTTTTTTTGATTTCTTCTTCTTCAGATTTATTGTTTGTGTATAGGAGGGCTACTGACTTTTGCGTGTTGATTTTGTATCCTGCCACTTTACTGAACTGATTGATGAGTTGAATTAGTTTTTTCTGTGGAGTTTTGGGGTTCTCTATGTATATTATCATATCATCTGCAAATAGTGATAGTTTGACTTCTTTTCCTATTTGGATTCCTTGGATCTTTCTCTTGTCTTATTGCTCTGGGTAGGACTTCCAGTATTATATTGAAAAGCAGTGGTGAGAGTGGACATCCTTCTCTTGTTCCAGATCTTAATGGAATTGCTTTCAGCTTTTCACCATTGAGAATGATACTGGCTGTTGCTTGTCATAGATGGCCTTTATGATGTTGAGGTATGTTCCTTGTATCCCAAGAATTTCAAGGGCTTTTATCATGAATGGGTGTTGCACTTTGTCAAAAGCTTTCTCAGCATCTATTGATATTATCATATGGTTTTTATATTTCTTTTTGTTGATGTGTTGGATAATGTTGATTGATTTTCGGATGTTAAACCATCCTTGTGTCCCTGGAATGAATCCAACTTGGTCGTGGTGAATTATCTTATGGATACATTGTTGGATTCTGATAGCTAAAATTTTATTGAGGATTTTTGCATCAGTGTTCATTAGGGAGATTGGCCTGTAGTTTTCTTTTTTGTGTTGTCCTTATTCGGTTTTGGTATTAGTGTAATATTGGCTTCATAGAACGTGTTTGGTATTGTCCCTTCCTTCTCAATTTTTTGGAAGAGTTTGTGAAGGATAGGCACTAATTCGTCTCTGAATGTTTGGTAGAATTCATTTGTAAATCCATCAGGTCCTGGGCTTTTGTTTTTGGGGAGGTTTTTGATTACCATTTCAATTTCGTTGCTTGTAATTGGTCTGTTTAGGCGTTCTATTTCGTCTTTATCTAGCTTTGGGTGATTGTAGAGTTGTAGGAATTTGTCCATCTCCTCTAGATTGTTGAACTTGTTTCCATATAACTGTTCATAGTAGTTACTGATTATACTTTTGATTTCTGCTGTGTCCATTGTGATTTCTCCTCTTTCATTTATGATCCTGTTTATTTGTGCTTTCTCCCTTTTTTCCTTTGTGAGCCTGGCTAGGGGTTTGTCTATTTTATTTATTTTTTCAAAGAACCAGCTCTTGGTTTCATTGATCTTTTGGATTGTTTTTTTAGTATCAATTTCATTTATTTCTGCTTTGGTTTTTATTATTTCTTTTCTTCTACTGGTTTTGGGGTTTTTTTGTTGTTCTTTTTCTAGATCTTTGAGCTTCGAGATTAGGTTGTTTCTTTGAGTTCTTTCTTGTTTTTTGATGTGAGCTTCTATTGCTATATATTTTCCTCTTATTACTGCTTTTGCTGCATCCCATACATTTAGGATATTGGTGTCCTCCTTGTCATTCAATTCAAAGAATTTTTTAATTTCTTCTTTGATCTCCTCGTTAGTCCAGTGGTCTTCCAGTAGTGTGGTTTTTAATCTCCATGAGGTAGAATAGTTCCTTGCCTTCTTTTTATGGTTTATTTCTAGTTTGATGCCTTCGTGGTCAGAAAAGATGCTTGGTATGATTTCAATCTTGGTGTATCTGTTGATGTTTGTCTTGTGCCCCAGTATGTGATCAATCCTGGAGAATGATCCATGTGCGCTTGAGAAAAATGTGTACTCTGTTTTCTTTGGGTTCAGTGTTCTATAGATGTCTGTTAAGCCCAAATGCTCTAGGTCCTTATTTAGAGCTTTAGTTTCTTTACTTATTTTTTGTCTTGTTGATCTATCCATTGTTGATAGTGGTGTGTTGAAGTCTCCCACTACGTATGTGTTTTCTCTGATGTCTGTTTTCAGAGAGGACAACAGTTGTCTGATATATTTTGGTGCTCCTTCGTTTGGTGAGTATATGTTAATGAGTGTTATTTCTTCTTGAAGTATTGTCCCCTTGATCATAATGTAGTGACCATTGGGGTCTCTTTTATCTTTTTTGAGTTTGAAATCTGTTTTATCTGATATAAGTATAGCTGTTCCTGCTTTCTTTTGTGGTCCATTTGCTTGTAGGATTGTTTTCCATCCTTTAACTTTGAGCCTATTTTTATCTTTTGTAGCTAAATGTGTTTCCTGGAGACAGCAAAAGGTTGGGTTTTGTTTCTTAATCCAGGCTGCAACTCTGTGTCTTTTTATTGAAGAGTTTAGTCCATTTACATTTAGAGTTAATATTGATATGTTAGCATCTGTATTTGCCATTGTTTGTCTTTCCTTTGATTTTATTTATTCTTTTAATAACTTTTTTTTTTTTTTTTTTGGTCTTCTTTCGTTGTTATTCGTCCCTCTGAGGTTCTGGCTTTAGGACTCCTTGTAGTATTTTTTGGAGTGGGGGTTTAGTTGTAATGAAATTCCGGAGTTTCTGTTTGTCTGGGAAGGTCCATATTCTTTCTTCAAAGAGGAAGGAGAGCTTTGCGGGATAGAGTATTCTTGGTTGGCATCTGTTTTCTTGGAGTCTGTTGACTATGTCCCTCCACTCTCTCCTTGCCCGTAGTGTTTCTTCAGAGAAGTCTGATGTCAGCCTGATTGGTTTTCCTTTGAATGTTATCTGTTTCTTCCCTCTTGTCAGCTTCATTATTTTTTCCTTGTCCTGGATTCTTGGGAGCTTTACTATTATGTGTCTTGCTGTATTTTTCCTTTCGTCGTGGAAGTTTGGTGTTCTTCTTGCTTCTTGTATATCAATTTTCAGCTCCTTCTTCGCATTTGGGAAGTTCTCTTCAATTATCTCCTGGAATATTTTCTCTGTTCCTACATCTCTCTCCTCTCCTTCTGGAATTTCTATAACTCTTATATTTCCTTTCCTCATGGAGTCAGATAGTTCCCGAAGTCTTTCTTCATTCTTTTTCCTTCGTATTTCTCTTTCCTTTTCTGTTTTGATTCTTTTTATTTCTGTGTCTTCAAGAGTACTTATTCGTTCTTCCATTTCATCTATTCTGCTTTCATTGCTTTTCCCAGAGTTCTTTAGTTCCTCCATTAATTCTTTGATCTCCTGCATTTCTTTTACTTCCCTCTTTAGGGACTCAATTTCATTCTTCTGACCATTGTTTTCCCTCTTTAGGGACTCAATTTCCTTCTTCTGATCATTGTTTTCCTTTATGACTTCTATCACTTTTTTAATCATGGCAATTTTAAATTCTCTTTCTGGAAGGCTCAGAAGTTCTTCCAAGTTGCTGTCGTTGCAATCTGGGGAGTGGTTTTCTTTTTGTGGTGTGCTTCTTTCCTGGGGAGTTGCTAGGTTGCGTGTGGTTCTTCTACTCCCTACTGTCTGTTTTCTAATTTGTCGTATGCGTTAGGACACTGTGTTGCTCGGACTGGCTGGCATCTTGGGTGAACTTCTCCGCTCCCCTCTGGCTCCTCCAGGAGCCATCTCTGGCTTCTGGGGGAGCTTTCTGCTGGTTTTTGGGCAGTCTTTACTGAAGAAATGTCCCTGTTCTAAAATGGCGAAGCGGGATGCAGTCCCTGCGCCTCCGGTTTCAGGCACACTCTTCTGCGCCCCCGGTCTGCCCCGGACGTGGGTGCCTGCTCCCTCTGTGGGCTCAGACTGCTGGTCGGAAGGGGCCTGGAGTGGGCTAACTTCCCAGCTGGCCACTGGGTCCTCCAGAAGCCTTCTGCCCTTTTCAAGCAGTCTTAAGAAATTTCCTGTTCTATGGGGTGTTAGTGACTTTTTTTTTTTCTGGTCGCTAGGTGGCGCCAGAGATCTCTCCTATTGTCCTTGGGGGGTCTGTTTTTCGCCTCCCCCCACCCCGTGGGACAGGGAACAGAGCGGGAATGGTAGGGTAAACCTCAACGGCTTTGGGGTGCTGTGTCTGCCTTGTGCCCCACCGTCGTGGAGAACCCACGCCCCGAATTTCGTGCCCCGGGTCTCAGTTCCAAAGCCCTCAGGTCCAGGACACGGGCTGTAGCCCAGTTCAGTGGCGCGGGAATGGCGCCTTTTGCACCGCTCCCGTGCCTGGGCGCCTGGTTCCTGCTCACTCAGGGAGGGACTTTCACCTCAGTGAGGAGGGCCTCTGCGCGTCTTCCCACAAGCCTAGGTCGCAGGCGCGGGGACCTGGGCAGCCGCCATCCGCGCGCCAAGCCTGCCGCGTTTCCGCGCAAGCTTACCGGCAGCCCGGGCTGTGTGCGCGTCTCCCGGGGTCTTTGTTCTTCTCTAATGGCGCCCGGAGCCGTTCGCTCACCGCCGCGGCGAATCCTGCAGGGTTCTCCACAGCTCCTGTTCACGGGGTGTGGTGGCTGCAATAGTTCCTTTCCACTCACAGTCCCGCTTGCTGCGTCGTTTGTTCTTGTTGGTCGTTTTAGTTTGTTGTTTTCCTCCTCTCTGCTGGTCGGAGAGTGCCGCCTCTGTGGGCGGGGGAGGGGAGCAGGGTTCTGCGCTTCCCTCCCTTCTAGTCCTCTTTTATGGCCACTTTCTTCTTCGGGTAGTTTGCTGGAGTCGTCTGTTTACCTAGATAGCAGTTTTAAAAGTTGTTGTGGGCCAGCGGGTTGAGCACTGCGCTGTGAAGCTGTCCACAGCCTCTGCAGCGCTGGTTTGATTCCCGGCCAGCTAGGGAGAAACCCACATGGCGCCGCAGACCTCTCCTGCCTCGCCCGCTGTTCCCCTAGCAGTGTCTTTGGTCAGTCTGCTGGTTCTGCTCCCCGCGCTGTCTCTGGTGAATCCTTTCACCCTCCCACATCACTGACCTGTACCCCAGTTTTTGTATAAATAAATAAATCTTTAAAAAAAAAGTTTTTGTGATTAACAAAAGAACTAATGTAAATTGGTGCTTCTAAAGTATTTTTTAAGGCATTGCATTTTTTCTCCTTTTCCTTGAGATTTCATTTGTAGTACTAATTCAGCCACGCTTCTTGCCATTAGTGTAGCCGATGTCAACCTGTGTTGGCAAGGATCATTTGTTTCTTCTGGTTGGGCTGCTGTTTATGAGAGATCAAGGGTGTGAGAGGAGAACACCCTGCGTGGAAAGACAGACTTGGCTCTGGGTGCAGCATTAATTTGGGCCATCATTTTCTAAGCCCAGACTGTAGAGAATGAGTGTCTCTCTTTGGAACCCATTCAGGAATGTTGTTGGAACAGTTTGTTAATTTAAAAAAATTCATGAATACAGACTATCATAGATTCTTTTTTTTTTTTTTTTTTCCTTTTGAAGATTTAGTTATCTATACAAACACTGGGTACAGTCAAAAGCGCGGGAGGGTGAGAGAATTCACCAGAGCCAGATCGGGGAACAGAACAGACAGACTGACGAAATACACTGCTGAGGGGAGCAGTGGGCGTGGCAGGAGAGGTCTGTCGCACCATGTGGGACCCTCGCCGGTGGCCAGGGATCGAACCGGCGCTGCAGAGGCTGTGGGCAGCTTTGCAGCCCAGCGTTCAACCGCTGTGCCTCCAGGGGAGGCCCAGAATAGCATAGATTCTTGAAACTCATTTTTATAGTAAGTGATGTTTTGAGAACTGTATTGTTTTCTTCTTTCACCCTGTCAGTAGCTCTGTCTACTGATAGATACCAACTCTGCCTTTTACTAACCCAGTAACCTTGAGTCAGACTAAACCTTAAGAGGCATAGTTTCTTCATCTGTGAAATGGAAAAATACTTACCTTATTAGGTGTTCCAAGCTTTAAAAGATACAAATGTAGAGTGTATTAGCCTGATGCTTTTATTAGGAGGAAGGAGTATAACTTCTGAAGGGGGATAACTCCCAGATATCTTGAAGAGACAGGAATTGAGGCAGTCAGTAGAGGCATTGAAATGCTAAGTATCTAACTTCCTGACTACTTGTATGCTGCTTTGGAGGTAATACCTGCCTAAATGGGATATGGCCAGGGAGGGTCTCTGTTAATGTTAGTGTCACTTCATATTTCTGAATTGGAAAACAAATGCCAGTTACCTTATATTCTTCTATGTGTTTGGTCATTTACGTTTATTGTATCATAGTTTGAGGCCTGGCCACCTAAGAAAATACCAGTGATAATTGATGATAGCCATCATTCTCTTCCCTCCCTTCAGGCTTTTAGATTACAGATCTGTGTTGTTTTAATCATGGTCTCAGAAATAAGTAGAAAGGTATTTTGTTGCCTTCATAGTCTCCCCATTACCATAGGGGGCATATAATAGTCTCATTCCTGTATTAAAGGAGGCAGTTGTAGGTAGGGCGTCAGGGACGCACCATTGTACCAGCTTTATTGAGCATACAATCTTCTTGTTAGTTGACTACTAATAAGTATTACTTATGGTACCTATACAGAGTGCCTACAATGTATATACATTGCTAATGGTATTAATAATTTTAATCACTGACAAAAATAACTGTGGTTATTTATTCTAACACATTTCATGCACTAATGCCAGGAACTTCTTTGCATGTTTAATTATAGTGTGTTAGAATTGTTTAAATCTTTCCTGTAAGAAGCAGATCAGGGATCTCCAAATTCCAAGAATGTCTCTGACTGTGTTTCACAAAGTGCACATCAGGTGGGATCTGGGGGGTCTCTCAGATGCATCTATTTTCTTAAAGTAAGATTTAGGAAGACTCTGACATAGAAACTACTTTGTTTTTTTGTTTGTTTTTCCAGGATTTATCTCATTCCTGGGGTGCCATAGTTCTTGATTGTCATGATTAAAACTACCTAATTGAACATGGTTGGAAGTTGTATTTACCTAAGAGGATATGAATATGACCTAGATTGTTTTTGGAAGAGGGAATTCTTAACCTTTGCGTACGAAGTGCTTTGCAAACAGGTGAACAAATGTTATCTTTAATTTCTGATACCTTCTTGACTTTCCCCCAGGTATTTCTCCTTTGTGTCACAACCTCTTTGCTCTGTATGATGATAACACCAAGCTCTGGTACGCTCCAAATCGCTCCATCACTGTTGATGACAAAACGTGGCTCCGGCTTCACTATCGGATGAGGTAAGCACAGTACAGAGCCAGTGCCTGCCTGACTTCTCCTGGAGTTAGGGATGACAGCCTGGAGCCCTAAGTCACTTTCAGGAGTACTGTAGTCATTTTTGTAATTTGTAAATTTTATATTTGCTTACTGTGAGAAAGGACTTCAGTGTTTGGAATACAGTTCACAGTGAATTTGATCACCTTCCTCTCCCACATTTTAGAAAAGAAATTATTATGTTGCAATTTTGAGTAGAATTAGAATTCTACAGCATTTTTTTTTTTTTTAGATTTATTTATTTATTTATACAAGCACTGGGTACAGTCAGAAGCGCGGGAGGGTGAGAGAATTCACCAGAGCCAGAGCAGGGAACAGAACAGGCAGAAGGACCGAAGTACACTGCTGTGGGGAGGAGTGGGCAGCAGGAGAGGTCTGTGCGCCATGTGGGACCCTCGCCCGGTGGCCAGGGATCGAACCGGGCCAGGGATCGAACCGGGCCAGGGATCGAACCGGGCCAGGGATCGAACCGGCGCTGCAGAGGCTGTGGGCAGCTTCGCAACCCAGCACTCAACTGCTGCGCCACCGGGGAGGCCCTCTACAGCAGTTTTTTTTTTCAAATGCTTTGTCCTGGTAATGAATTAAATGAGCTGTGATCACTGGTTTTTTTTTTTTTTTAAAGATTTATTTATTTGCTTATACAAGCACTGGGTACAGTCAGAAGCACGGAGAATTCACCAGAGCCAGAGCGGAGAGCAGAACAGGCAGAACACTGAACCACTGTGCCTTTGGGGAGGCCCTGATCAGTATTTTTTAAAATAGAAACAGATAAGAATAGATAATAGTGTATATACATATCCTAAGTATACTGTTTTTTAAAGCTTCCATTTGAGATTTATAATGTATATAGTAGGTCACAGTATAATAAGTGTATTTTGTAAAGTTGTAGCCAAAGAGCTTGAGAATTACTGCCTGCAGTGGTATACAAGAACTTAGCAGTTGTTGGTCTCAAGGGGTGGATGTTTTGCTCCTTTCCCCGGGAGATGTTTGTGTCGTGTAGCTCTTAATTTTTCTTCTGATGACTATGTCCCTTTTCTCCTGTAGAGATTTTATTAGATTTTATTAAATCAATATTTTATTATTGTAGATTTTATTAAATGTTATGGCATCTCCCAAAGTGGCAGTGCACAGTCAGTACTTCATAGCTATAGTCTCTTGAGTTTGTAAGCATCTTTGCTCCATACCTAGAATTGAAAGTATATTTGTTAAATGCTAGTTAAGCACAAGTTAACGTGTATTTAGAAGAGGAGCTTATAAATAGGGTGGATGTTTTTTGAAAAGGGTCTTAACTTACACAGATGTGATTGTTAGTAGATTAACGCAGGTACTAATGGAATGCAGGGACATGTTGGAAAAGCCTGTAGGGCCTCTCAGAGGTGCTCCATAGCATCTTAACTGCTATTTCCATGGGAAGTCAGTAGAATTTTTACCATTCTAGAATGGCCTGGGTGTTTTTCTCAGTGGAAACGGGTTGGGATCTGCTTTCTATGATAATCATCCCAGAACTGACTTTTTCCTATATTCACCCAAGGTCTCACCTTAAGAGGTATGTGTTGTGTGTGATTTCACATCCCCAAATTAGGGACACATTCATTCCACCCAGCTGAGCTTCTGACTATAATTGGGTTTGGTTTTTTTTTGTTGGGTTTTTTTTTTCTGTTTTGTTTTGTTTTTTTTTTTTTTTTTTTTGTGGCTGAGGCGTTGGTTATGAGATTCCTCATTGAAATGTATAGCCCTCAATCTAGAAAGGGGGCATTTCATTGAATTCTAGTTCTCTGAGTTTCTCCACCTGAGTTAGAATCTGAAATGGTAAAATTTGGAATTTGAAAGAGACTGGAGTTCACGTGGTTCAACTCTGCCAATTTTTTTTAGGGGGGAAAGTGATGCCCAAAAAGAGAAATGAGTTACCCCAAAACACACACTTACTGAATTATCCCATTAGAACTCTCTTTAAGGCAGTCATCTTAGTAGTGTGAATTCCTCACTATTGAAAGCTGTCTCTGCCTGCTCCCCATATCTGTTAGCTGCCAGGAAGTGCATGGCTGCTTCAGTTTTGGCACCTTGACTTTATACCTGACATGGTGCTTCAACAGGATATTGCTTTGTTACCCACAGGCACTTAGAACTTGGGAAAAAAGATCCCACCTAAACTCAAACCTTTGTGTTACAACAAATTACAAAAATTTGAAACCTTAAACTCTCACCACTGAAGAAGGTGTAACATGAAAATAAATGTCGGTGACTATTTCGGTGGAATCTCAGCTCTGTTTTGGGAAATGTTCTTGTACTTTAGTTAAAATTTTCTGTTTTTAAATAATTTTGATAGTTACTGTTTTGTAGCATACCCTTGTACAAGACAAGTATAATCTTTATTCCTCTAAAAAAAAACCTCTTGCTTTTTAATCCAAATGAATTTCATGATCCACTAGTTAAGTTCTATAAATAGCTAAGGAAAATGTTACATGTAATATCTATATGTAAACTTTATGCAGTTATGGTGCGTTTTTTCAAAAACTTGCAAGAAATACATATCTCTGATTGATAGGTCTGTTTTTCCTTTCTTGCATTATTCCTCTATATCATTCTGGAAAGGAATCTAAGCAGCTATCATACTACATTTTTTCATCTCTGTCTTAATGTTTTCATTAGCATGTCATAATCTCAGTAACTTGTATGTGGACCAGATTTGATGAACACTTGGACTTTAATTTTAAAAAGTAGTGTTGGTTTCTGTCTTCAGTGAAACTCTAGTTTTGATTAGCAATTAGGAAGATGTTGATTTTGGTAGTCACTGATTTACTTTTTTTGAGGGGATTATCCTGTTAAATAAAAATCTGCCAGCTTCTAACTATAGACAATTTCTAGAGATTCAGCCTTGATTTAGGTTCTCTTCCACTTCTATTCTAGTGGAGGAGCTGCATACAATGTTTGATCTCCTCAGCTTTATCCTGTCTGAGTATCTTGCCAAGAGTTTTAAGCTAAAGCTGGTCCCATAGGGCTGTGAGAGCAGCCTTGAAGAATATCCTTGTTCAGACCTGATTGAAGATTGTGTTTTGCCCAAAGGGAGTATTTTATGCTCTAGGCTCTACCAGTTCTAAAGGACTCTTTCCCATAAAGCTCAGTGGGATGTGGAAGAAGGTCCATGACTTGGACTGATTCAGGGGAGCACTGTCTTTAGAGTGTCTCTTTAAAGTAACCTCCTCCATCCTTGAGATCCATTCCTCACTTATCCCAGGTAACCTTTCATGTTGGACAGTTCTCATTCCCTTACCACCATCTTCGTTCTATCAAATAGAACTTACCTTTTCTGTGTGCTCTTTTATCAGAGCCCTGCTTTGACCCTATGTAGATGGAGTGCCTGGCATACAGTACACATTCAGGAGTTCTTAGCTACTATCTTATTCATCCTCTTTTGACTTTTTCACCTCTCTCCTTCCAGGCAGACCCTGAAACTCTGGTAGATCTCTAATTAGTGAATGAATGCTGAGAACTCTCTATTTTGGGTTCTCCTCAGCAGGCAGAGCAGTTGGTCATGTTCTCGTCCATTTTTTTCTACATCAGTGTCAGATTTTCCTGTATCTGTTCAGCTAATGGAGTTGATTCATCTCTTTCTGCTTGTCTCAAAAACCAGGCGTGTAGGCCTGGGGACAGGACAAGGCTCTCTCTAGCTGAGAGCCTCAGGCTTTTATTGTGACAAGTGCTGATTACCTCTCATACAGCAGTCTGCAGCTGTGGTTTATGCTGTGTGTTCTTCCCATGGCTGTGGTTCTTTCTGTGTGTGTGAGAGAGACTCCAAAACTTGCAGTCAAATTCTCAAGTAACTTTCATAAGTTACAGGGAAGATGGACTGTACATAATTGCTGTAAGTTTTTAAATAATGATTTTGCCTTTACAGTCATATTTTATTAGTCCTTTCCTCTGAGTGTTAATTGCTGCTTACCAAGTTTCTTCATTCACTTGTTCATGCAGCAAGCATGTGTTATGTTCCATGATATGCCAGACTTAGGGGATTCATTGGTAAGCAAAATAGCTGAGACCTCTGAGCCCAAAAGGCTCATAGCATTGCCCAGACTAGCCATAGGCACCTGCTTTTCTGTTGGCCTTTCTCATTTCAGTCCATCTTCCATATGACTTTCTTCCAGGGGAATCCTGTCTCACATCAGTTTGGTTTGTAATTTTTCCTCTGCTGCTGTGCCCAGATTCTGTGGGCTGGCATTTATTCTGATACCAACTTCCCTTCCACCTTCCCTAATGGCAGAGGGCAGCTTTTTTCTCTTTGGCATTCCTTTGGCACTTAACCCAGAGTGTCTTCATTCCGGGGACAACTTACTTATTAGGCACAGTGCTTAGGGTCCACATTATTATTATGCGCCCACAAAAATGCTTTAAATACATTCAAAATCAGAAAAAAAAAATTACAGCCTGTATTATGTTCCTCTTTAAGCCAACAGAGTTGTAAAATATAATTTTATTTTTAATTATTCATACTGAGGAAAAGTATGTTAATTCCATGAAAATCACAGTGTAGTCCAGCTTATGAGATGTGTTCCCTTGTAACTTGTTGTTATTGATGCTTGTGACTGGTTGCCTGTTTCATAGTGGGCAGGGACTGTACCCAAGAACCCTTTGCATTTCAGAGTCTGGCGCAAGGTCTGGCTTGTCCTAGGTTCAGCAAATTTAGCTCAGTAACAGTATCTGAGTTTGATGGCAGCTCTGTTTGTGAAGGAAATTTTCTTTGTTGATTCTTAGTGCCATGGTTCTTTTTCTTTTCTTTTTTTAAAAGTGATATTATACATAGAGAACCCCAAAAACTCCACAGAAAAGCTAATTCAACTCATCAATCAGTTCAGTAAAGTGGCAGGATACAAAATCAACACGCAAAAGTCAGTAGCCTTCCTATACACAAACAATAAATCTGAAGAAGAAGAAATCGAAAAGACCATCCCTTTTGTTATTGAAACAAAAAAAATCAAATATTTGGGAATAAATCTAACAAAAGAGGTAAAGGACCTATACAAAGAAAACTATAAAACACTGTTAAAAGAAATAGAAGAAGACACAAAGAAATGGAGAGACATCCCCTGCTCATGGATTGGAAGAATAAACATTATTAAAATGGCCATCCTTCCAAAAGCAATATACAGATTCAATGCTATTCCAATCAAAATTTCAATGTCATTCTTCAAAGAAATAGAAAAATTATTGATGAAATTCATATGGAATCACAAAAAACCCCGAATAGCCAAAGCTCTCCTGAAAAAAAAAGAAGGGAATGGAGGCATCAGACTCCCAGACTTCAAACTATACTACAAAGCCATAATCATCAAAACTGCATGGTATTGGAACAAGAACAGACATACGGACCAATGGAATCGAATAGAAAATCCAGAAATAAACCCACAGATTTATGGTCAACTAATCTTTGACAAAGGAGCAAAGACTATGCATTGGAGCAAAGAAAGTTTGTTCAATAAATGGTGCTGGGAAAACTGGGTCGCTACATGCAAAAGAATGAAGCTTGACCACCACCTCACACCATACACAAAAATCAACTCAAAATGGATTAAAGAACTAGACATAAGACCTGAAACCATAAAATATATAGAAGGAAATATAGGCGAAACACTACGTGATTTGCACATCAAAGACATCTTTACAGACACATCACCCAAAGCAGTGATAGTGAAGGCAAAGATAAACAGCTGGGACTATATCAAATTAAAGAGCTTTTGCACAGCAAAAGAGACAATAACAAAAACAAAGAGAAACCCCACCAACTGGGAGAACATTTTTGCACCCAACACTAATGATAAAGGACTGATCACAAAAATCTGCAAAGAGCTGATGAGACTCAACAACAACAAAGAAAATAATCCAGTCAAAAAATGGGCAGAAGAGCTTAAAAGAAACTTCTCTGAAGAGGAAATGCAAATGGCCAACAGGCATATGAAAAAATGTTCAACATCACTTGTCATCAGGGAAATGCAAATCAAAACTACCATGAGATACCATCTTACACCAGTGAGAATGGCACATATTAAAAAAACTAGCAACAACAAATGTTGGCGAGGGTGTGGAGAAAAAGGAACTCTTCTGCACTGTTGGTGGGAGTGCAAACTGGTCCAACCACTGTGGAAAGCTGTGTGGAGATTTCTGGACCTACTAAACATAGAGCTTCCATATGACCCAGCAATTCCACTCCTAGGTATTTACCCAAAGGACACAGAAACATCAATTCCAAAGAACACCTGCACCCCTATGTTTATAGCAGCACTGTTTACAATAGCTAAGCTTTGGAAACAGCCCAAATGCCCAAAAATAGATGACTGGATCAAGAAGATGTGGTACATATATACCATGGAATATTACTCAGCATTCAAAAAAGATAAACACATGCAATTTGCTGCAACATGGATGGCGCTGGAAGGGATCATGCTCAGCGAAATAAGCCAAAAAGAAAAAGAAAAATACCGGATGGTCTCACTCATAGCAGGAATCTAGAAAACTTAAATAATGGACCAGGAAAATGAAAAACTATAAGAAAGTGAAAATCAAAATCAACAAAAAACTATGAACCAGAGACACTTTTAGGGGGGCGGGGGCGGGAGGGGAGGGATTGGGGTCAGAATGGGGGGCGGCAATTGTATGGGGAATATAACAATAAAATTTATAAAAAAAAAAAAAATAAAATTAAATAAAAATACAGTCCAAAATATTAATCTACAAAAAAAAAAAAAAAAAAAAAAAAAGTGTATTTATGCATACAAGAACTGGGGTACAGGGCAGAGGTGAGGGGGGTGCAGGTGAGAGGATTCACCAGAGACAGAGTGGGAAACAGAACAGGTGACTCTATTGAGCTACACTGCTGAGGGGAGCGGCGGGTGAGACAGGAGAAATTGCTGCGCCATATGGGTCACCTTGCTGGCCGGAAATTGAACTTGTGCTCTAGTAGTTGCGGATAGCTTCATAGTGCTGCATCTGAACCCCATGCGCCACCAGGGAGGCCCCACCATGGTTGTTTTTCATATCATATGGGCATGTCAAAGGAGAGGGACCCAAGCACCACCTGAGTCTGCAACCTAGAGATGACATGAGTCAGCTTGGCTTACTTGCTTTCATACCTTCTGGAACTCACTGTTTCTCTTGCAGGCGACAGAGAAAAGTAGTGGTTAAAAGAAGAGGTTTAGGGCCTCCCTGGTGGCGCAAGGGGTTGAGCACAGCACTGTGAAGCTATCCAAAACCTCTGTAGCACCAGTTCGATCCCTGCCTGCCAGGGAGCTACCTATCCACATGGCCCAGCAGACCTCTCCTGTCTTGCCCGCTGCTCCCCTCAGCAGTATATTTCAGTAGATCTGCCTGTTCTATTCCCCACACTTTCTCTGGTGAATCCTCTCAGCCCCCTCCCCGCTGCCGCACACCTCTGGCCTATACCCCAGTTCTTGTATGCATAAATAAATAAATCTTTAACCCTTTGCACTCCGCTGTCCCCTCTCAGGGGACATCGGAATTCTAGCATATCACTCGGATGTCCCCTCTCAGGGGACATTGCAATTTATTAGTGATTACGGGGAATTGAGGTTATTTCAACGCAACTTTTTGAGACATGCATGTTTTCCTGAAGTTTTATCTTGAAATGGCACAAGAAATTAAATCAAAATATCGTAAAATGGTTCGGAGTGCAAAGGGTTAAAACACACAAAATAGAAGAGGTTTATAGTCTTAAGTCACTAAGCCCCATTGAACCTAAGTTTTCTTTACCTGTAAAATGAAAACAATGAAACCTACCTTGTATGGTTGTTGTAAAAATAAAATAGCCTAGTATATATAAAGGTGGTAGTGTTCACATATTTCTTCTATATTAAAACTATATTCATGGTAAGGTGAACTATCAGTTTAATTACAAGTATCTGAGAAATAGGAAACATTGCCATGTTAACTTTCATCTTGACTCTTAGGATGAAATTACAATTATTGTTAAGATGTGAATAAAATAGGTCTTAGATTCAAGGCAGCATGACATTTTTCAAAGAGTTTCTGGGTTGGCATCTAATTCTACTTTTTTCCCCATTTAGGAAGATGGCTGGAAGGTTAGAGGAGCTATCTTTGTGATCTTAAGGAAGTCACTTTATCTCTCTGAGTCATAGAACAGGTTTTGGCAGGGCACTCATTGCAGAATGCTTGTTAAGGATGAAAAGAAAAGGACCTTAGAGACAATGAAGTGTTGCACCCATGAAAGGTCTCAGGAAAGTTTAGTTTCCGGCACTGATCACTGTGGATGGAATGAGGATGCCTCCCTACGATTCCAAGATCCTCTTTCTCATAGTTCACATTCATTTTTTCTACCTTTCAGGTTCTATTTCACCAACTGGCATGGGACCAATGATAATGAGCAGTCAGTATGGCGACATTCTCCAAAGAAGCAGAAAAATGGCTACGAGAAAAAAAAAGTTCCAGATGCTACCCCTCTCCTTGATGCCAGCTCCCTGGAGTATCTGTTTGCTCAGGTAAGAAGTTTGGCCCAGGAGAACCTGCAGTTTGTAGGATGGGTAAGATTTTGTAGTGTTGATATTTCCTGGTGCAGCCAGAATTGATGCCAGTAGTAGCTAAGGTGCTTTATGACCTGGGTAATTCTTGCCAACCTGGACTTCACCCAATGAGAAGGAGGCTGGTTCTTCCACTTCTTGGTTTTTCAGGCTTCATTTCTTCCTAATTTCCTCCCCCTGCCAGTGCCTACCATTTTACTTTTAGTTTGTAGTGGCTCTTGTGCAAAGCACAGAGAGAAGCTATACATGTGCGTAGGGGTAGTTCAACAGGACCCCCAAAGGCATTTTTTCTCAGAAGTCTTAGTAATATTTGGGGAGGAAGGTGGCCACACTAAATCACTCTGGTGGTCAGGCAGAAAGGTTAGATGCTAGAAAAAAACAAAGAGATGTTAGAATCACCTAAATGAATCACCTAAATTACATTTTCTGAGAAATTAATGTTTTTGGTTAAATGCTTCCTGATTTTGCCATGCAAATATTTATTATGTGCTGTGTGGTTTTTGAAAATGTCTTACTGTTTATATTATTTTATAAACTGCTTTTTATTCACCCTGTTGATGACCTTTCAAATATCAATTAAAAATACAGATCTCTGTTTTATTGGCTTCACAGCAGTTCATTTATTAAACAAATATTTACTGAGTTTTGTGGGGGCACTACAGATCCTGTCACGAACAAGATACATGTGGTTTCTACAAGCACCAAATGTATAGACAAGTTGGACAGACAGAAAATAAGCAAGCAAAGAACATGATCTATAATGATAAGGTTATAAGATATGCTATGAAGAAAAGCTTTTGTGATGGAGAATATGGGGATAGGGGAGGGTTTGAATGATGTGATCAAAGAAGATCTAAGAAGCTAACATTTATACTGAATTTTGAAAAGTAAAAAGCATTCTGCAATTCTAAGGGAGGAATAGGGTAACGTATTTCTTCAGTGTATGGCAGTTTTTCAAACGTAACACTACTGACATTTTGGATTGAATAATTCTTAGTTATGAGGGACTTCACTGTGCATTGTAGGGTATTTACTTGCACCCTGGCCTCTATTGAGGGGTTTCCCCCAAGTGTGACAATAAAAAAAAAGTCTCTAGATACTGCCAAATAGCCCTGGAAAGGCAAAAACTCCCCATGAAAAACATATAGGGAACTGAATGTGGAAAGGTTCCTGAGGCAGGTTAGAACTGTGTGAGTGTTGAGGCTAGAATGTCACGTACATTTTTGTGAAATCAAAATATGATTAAAGCCCCAGTCTTGGGCCTCCCTGGTGGCGCAGGCGGTTGAGTGCCACCCTGTGAAGCTGTCCGCAGCCTCTCTGCAGTGCGAGTTCGATCCCGGCTGGCCGGCGAGAATCCCACATGGCGGGGCAGACCTCTCCTGTCTCACCTGCTGCTCCCCTCAGCAGTGTATTTCATCATTTGCCTGTTCTGTTCCCCACTCTGTCTCTGGTGAATCCTCTCACCCTCCCGTGCATCTGGCCTGTACGCCAGCTCTTGCATAAATAAATAAATCTTTAAAAAAAAAAAAAAGAATTAAAAAAAAAAAACCCCAGCCTTCTGTCACCTTCCCTTGTCTTGGTACAGTTCCATCCTAGTACATACAGCTTTTTGGCATCATTTATATGGTGAGCCCGGGGAAAGTGTTTCATGTGTTTGTGCTGCTCACAAGTACATAACATAGTGCTCAAATATTTGTTAAATGACTAAATTAACCTGGGGAGAAAATCTTCTGAGCCCCTTCATGCTTAGTGTTGTTGGGAAAGCTTTGATAACAGAGATACTGCAAATCTGATTAGTTTCATTGCTGTGCAGCTTTTCTGGGGCATACCTTCTTATGTGGGAGTCTTCCTATCAACATCAAAACATGGGTGGACATTATTTATTTATAAAGGTTTGTTTGTTTATTTATTTATTTATACAAGCACTGGGTACAGTCAGAAGCGCAGGAGGGTGAGAGAATTCACTAGAGCCAGAGCGGGGAACAGAACAGGCAGACTGACGAAATACACTGGTGAGGGGAGCAGTGGGCACAGCAGGCGCAGTCTCTCACGCCATGTGGGACCCTCGCCAGAGGCCGGGCATCGAACCGGTGCAGAGGCTGTGGGCGGCCTTGCAGCCCAGCGCTCAACTGCTGCACCACCAGGGAAGGCCCGTGGGTGGGCATTTAAAAGTTCAGTGGTGATTCATTTCTTCTCTCCTCTGTTCCAAAGGGACAATATGACTTGGTCAAATGCTTGGCTCCCATTCGAGACCCTAAGACTGAACAGGATGGACATGATATTGAGAATGAGTGTCTGGGAATGGCTGTCCTGGCCATCTCACACTATGCCATGATGAAGAAGATGCAGTTGCCAGAACTTCCCAAGGACATCAGGTAGATCTTTTGGATGGCTCAGAAATTGATTGTGGGATTGGTGTTATTTTTATTCTTCTCTTGTATATCAGTTTAACCACTGCCAGCTTTTGGTTGGTCCATGTCTTCTGAATAAACCCAAGTCTGAGTAAGCCCAAGTCTTATAAAGACAGCACAGTTTTGATTGTGTTATGATTTTGAATGTTTACAGATAACCTCAGAAATTTGTGCTAGAATGAAAGTTCTAGGCTGGGGTAGCCAATCAGATTAGTGGCCACATGCCCTCCACTTCACTCCCTGCCCACGGTGGGCACTGCTGTCTTATCACTGTACTTTCTCTTTTTTGCTAGACCATCTTAAAATCTTTCTCAGTATACTTCTGCAGGTAGCTACTACTATTCCCAGCCTGGACCAGAGTTTACTAGAGAGCTGTTAATTCTGATGTGAAGGATGCTCAGCTGTTACCTTAAAAAAATTGTATTAACTTAAAAATATAATTTGTGATCAATTTTTTTGTGATGAAATATTCAATCTGTGTGATTCCTACCAATCTCTGAAAGGGTCAGTTTTTGAACCAGTGGCCCTCTTTATTTTAAAGTAAAAAATGGCCACTTTTTTCTTCCTTTCTACTAGATTAATCTAAAAAAAAGGGAGGATAAATGCCAAACTTCCCAGTTTCCCATTGTTGGGAAACCATTCACATAGCAGGGATTAGATCACCCTGTGCTGGATGCTGTCTCAGGCCTGGGAGTAATGAGCACACTGGTCTCCCAGTGGACTTGTTTCTTTTGTCATGGGTACTCATATTCTTCTTAAAACTGACTCTTCTTCTAGTAGTGTGTCAGTTTGTTGAGATACTGTTTGTCATACATTCTCCCCATTAGCACCTGGATGGGTAACTAATATTTCAGTTTATTGTTCCATTATATATATATATAGATACAGATATATCTCTATATATCTGGAACATTTTCACATGGTATCTAATTAGTTTTTACATTCCAATTTCTTATAAAAGCAATATGTGCTCTTTATAGAAAAAATATAAGATAGACAAGCAAATAGAATATAAAGCATCTATAATCACTCTTCACACTTTCAGACTATTTTCTAATACTAAATCTTAATACAATATGCTTATGTGAATACTAACATGCCCAGGAAGTGACTCTAGCCACCAAAAACATAGATAAATCAGTCTTACTACCTGCTTTGTGACCCAGAAAATAAGATATTTGTAGGACTTTTCATTTCAGTAAGATCTGTGGTACTTATATTTTCTGTTCTCTCTTGGTCTCTATTCACCTCCATCTTAGGTTTGTCAGTTTCTGTCTAGGGCCCTCTGGGAGTAGATCCCCTCTTCTCATTTGGCAACATGTGGAAGGAAGATTTATAGAATTAGTTTCTGAACTATTCTCTGCTAATATACATATAAAAAAGAGATATATTTTCCTACTTTCTTTTAGTTACAAGCGATATATTCCAGAAACATTGAATAAGTCCATCAGACAGAGGAACCTTCTTACCAGAATGCGGATAAATAATGTTTTCAAGGATTTCCTAAAGGAATTTAACAATAAGACCATCTGTGACAGCAGTGTGTCCACACATGACCTGAAGGTGAAATACCTGGCTACATTGGAAACTTTGACAAAACATTATGGTGCTGAAATATTTGAGACTTCCATGTTATTGATTTCATCAGAAAATGAGATGAATCGCTTTCATGCAAATGACAGTGGTAACATTGTCTACTATGAAGTTATGGTGACTGGAAATCTTGGAATCCAATGGAGGCAGAAACCAATTGTAAGTGGCAAGAAGTGGCTGATTAAAACAATTTCCTTTATTACATGGTTGCATGTCCATCACTGTAGACTGAATTAATTTAGGCTAGAGACCATTTATCTTTCATCTTTTATTGCATCATGTAGAATTGTTTAAGTATTTATTGAGTTCTGTAGGAAAATGGAGAACTGTGCATTAACATGTAATAATACAGTAACTATAGACATTTATGGAATGTTTACCATGTACTAAGTAATTTTCTACATGCATTTTACATGTATTCATTTATTATTTAAAAGAAAAGTCTTTGAGGGGAATACTACCACTATCCCTGTTTTATAGATGAGCACAAAGAGGTACAGAGCAATTAAACTGGTCCTAGATTATAGCTAAAAAGCAGTTGTGCCAAGAATTGAACTTAGACATCCAACTCCATGAAAATAGGAAAATAGGACTTTGCATTTGAAGCTACTTTATTGAGTGTTGTTATAGAACAAAGTGGTTTAAAAGCATGGGTTCTAAAACTAAATAGACCTGTTCAATTCTGGTCTCAATTATTTAGAGTTATTACTCGAGAGCGTTACCTATATAAGCCACATGTTAACCATCTGTAAATGGAGATACTTACTGTATCTGCTTCATAGGGTTGTTGAGAGAACTAAGTATCATTTAGCACAGACTGGTATATGGTAAGTGTTTAATAAATTATTATAGCTGCTATTATTTTATTTTATTTTTTTTTTGGATTTATTTATTTATTTATTATTTATTTATTTTATTTATTTATTTGTACAAGCACTGGGTACAGTCAGAAGCGCAGGAGGGTGAGAGAATTCACCAGAGCCAGAGCAGGGAGCAGAGCAGGCAGAAGGACCAAGTACACTGCTGAGGGGAGCAGCGGGCGGCAGGAGAGGTCTGCGCGCCATGTGGGACCCTCCTCCGGTGGCCGGGGAGCAGCCGGGGATCAAACCGGCGCTGCAGAGGCTGCGGTCAGCTTCGCAACCCAGCGCTCAACCGCTGCGCCACCGGGGAGGCCCTAGCTGCTATTATTTTAAATAAGAGACTCTGTTCATGCTGAAATAACAGTGCCTAGCCCTGAATCCTCTCTACATATTATATACTGTGTTAATAATTATTTATTTAATCCTCAAAGAATCTTGTGAAGATGTGAAATTTTGGTTTTATAAATGGGGAAATGATGAGTCAGAGAGATACCCTGCTTTTGCCAGTTAACTAGTTAGGTTATTAGCCCAGATTGGTAGTCTTTAACACCTAGACAATGCAAAATACTTAATCTTATCAAACACATATGATTCCCTGAATTATTTATATATGGGATTCATGTCATCTCAAAAATTCTGACTTGAATACTGTCAAAGTCAAGACAATCATAATAAATTGTAAAAGAAGAAAGTCTGTTCTGTCCAGTCACATTTGGAAGAAAACATGTTTTTTTGTCTATATTAAAACACATACATTGTCTGGGGTAGAGAGATCTGACTGTAGATGCATGGTTAGTGGGCATTTGTTTCTCTTTCTGAGGTAACGTTATAGATTATATAAATATTATTGTTGGTTTGTTCATTAAGATCTCTTCCAGTTATAAAATACCAAGTCTCTGTGGTAGGTCTCAAAATTTGCAGTCCTAAGCTCACAGGTGCCAGCTCTCCCATTCGTCTATAAACCTCTATAAACCCGGACCTGCTGACCGTGTCCTCCTTAGATGTAAACCCTGCAATAGTTTGCTAGAAACATTGACCTTCCATCAATAGAAAATGAGAAAACCAAGTTAATTCTGACACTTTTAAATATATATCTTACAAGGTTGTTCCTGTTGAAAAGGAAAAAAATAAACTGAAACGGAAAAAACTGGAAAGTAAACATAAGAAGGATGAAGAAAAAAACAGAATCCGGGAAGAGTGGAATAATTTCTCTTACTTCCCTGAAATCACTCACATTGTAATAAAGGAATCTTTGGTCAGCATTAATAAGCAGGACAACAAAAAAATGGTAAGTTTGCTTTAGAATCAATTCACTCTGGATCTGGTGATGAGAGAGACATTGTTGAGGACAATGATGTAGCACATGCTTCTCAGAGTTCCTGTCCCAAAGAGAAAATCAGATGTTTTTCTTGTACAAACCAGAAAGTCCCTATTGCTGATATCGGTATTATCAGTACCAGTTTTAAAGTTACATCAGTACATTCTAGAGCCTTTCTTTGGTCTTAAAATATGCTAACTGCTTTAGAGTTTGATTCACAAAAGTTAGTGGATTTGAAGGAAAAGAGGATGGGTTAACATCAGTGTTTTCCACCAAGGGCTCCTGCGGGTCTTCTCTGCTGAGCTGGGTGGGTCCTCTGGGCTGGGGCTGGTGGGAAGTTCCAGTTTGCACCTCAGCAGACTGCCAGGCCAGAGCTGTGGCCACAGTTTGCAGTCCTCCTCATGGTGTTAGGCACACCCAAGTGCCTCTTGGACAGAAGGGGTTTTCAATCTCACTTCCTCTTACTTGGTATCACTTGAGGACATAATCTAGACAGGCAGCCCAGTTTGGCAGGGGAAGTGGGAACCCTGCCAAAATAAACATGTTTGCCTTAGGAGAGTCTCAGCTGACAGCATGTGGAGAGAACAGGCTGGTGAGGCAGGCATTTTTACAGAGTAAAGGTAGTCAACACTAGGGAAAGAAAGTACCAGGTTTTACTCAAAAGTTTTACAATGTGTCAAAAGGGTAACACTCAGTGCTGGGAAAGTATCTGGTGATAGGATTTAGGACAGACAGCTGATCACCCTTTTACATCCAGAATAACTTGGTTTTGTGGTATGCCTTTTAGAAGGCAGTTTAGCAGTATGTATAAAGAGCCTTGAAAATATTTATGTATCTCTCCATTCAGGAACCTATAGATCTATGAGAGATGCAGGCAGTGCTCTATGGGTGAGATTCTTTATTCCTATGGTATTTATAGTATCAAAGTAAAATTACTTAAATATGAAATAATAGGAGAAACGGAAAATAAATCATAATTCGACTGAGTAGTAGCATATTATATAAACAAATTGCTGAATGTAAAAAAATCTGGAAAATATTTTATGAATAGAAAAAAGCAGAATATAAAAGCATGTATAGAATGGAACCAATTTTGTTAAAAAAAATCCAAGAACCTTAGAGTATGCACAAACACATAGTTGAACATTGTATTTCCCCCTTTTATTTAAAAAAAATTTTATTATTTTTTTAATTTTATTTTTATATTCCCCATACAATTGCAACCCCCTTATTTTGATCCCAATCCCTCCTTTCCCCGCCCCCCACCACCCATAGAGTGTCTCGGGTTCATAGTTGTTTGTTGATTTGGATATTTTCTTTCTTATAGTTATTCTTTTTCCTGGTCCCTTATTTAAGTTTTCTAGATTCTGCTATGAGTGAGACCATCCGGTATTTTTCTTTTTCTTTCTGGCTTATTTCGCTGAGCATGATCCCTTCCAGCTCTATCCATGTTGCTGCAAATTACATGTGTTTATCTTTTTTGAATGCTGAGTAATATTCTATGGTGTATATGTACCACATCTTCTTGATCCAGTCATCTATTTTTGGGCATTTGGGTTTTCCAAAGCTTAGCTATTGTAAATAGTGCTGCTATAAACATAGGGGTGCAGGTGCTCTTTGGAATTGATGTTTCTATGTCCTTTGGGTAAATACCTAGGAGTGGAATTGCTGGATCATATGGAAGCTCTATGTTAAGTAGGTCCAAAAATCTCCACACAGCTCTCCATAGTGGTTGGACCAGTTTGCACTCCCACCAGCAGTGCAGGAGAGCTCCTTTTTCTCCACAACCTCGCCAACATTTGTTGTTGCTAGTTTTTTAATATGTGCCATTCTCACTGGTGTGAGATGGTATCTCATTGTAGTTTTGATTTACATTTCCCTGATTATAAGTGATGTTGAACATTTTTTCATATGCCTGTTGGCCATTTGCATTTCCTCTTCAGAGAAGTTTCTTTTTAGCTCTTCTGCCCATTTTTTGACTGGATTATTTTCTTTGTTGTTATTGAGTCTCGTCAGCTCTTTGCAGATTTTTGTGATCAGTCCTTTATCATTAGTGTTGGGTGCAAAAATGTTCTCCCAGTTGGTGGGGTTTCTCTTTGTTTTTGTTATTGTCTCTTTTGCTGTGCAGAAGCTCTTTAATTTGATGTAGTCCCAGTTGTTTATCTTTGCCTTCACTATCACTGCTTTGGGTGATGTGTCTGTAAAGATGTCTTTGATGTGCATATCATGTAGTGTTTTGCCTGTATTTCCTTTTATGTATTTTATGGTTTCAGGTCTTATGTCTAGTTCTTTAAAAATTAAATTTATTTTCTTATATCATGATTCATTTTTGTACCCCCTCCCTTTTTAAACAATATATATCAGGATTTATCAGAAAATAAGTGAAAAATGAAGTGAAGGAGAAGTAGAAGAGCCCAGGCAGATATTAATAGGAAAATAGAAAATGGAGGGAGGAAGAAAATAAAAATAAATGTTATTTAGTCCGCGTATTCTAGATATTAGGCCGTGTTATTTACTCTGTCTATCTACATTATCTTATTTAAGTTCCATTTCATTGGGAGAATCTGAAACTTAGGTAGAGGTATAGAAACTGTATGGGGTTATAAAGAGAAGTGACAGCTGTGGCCCTTGCTGCTTTCGTTTCCAAGACATTATCTTCCCCGGGGCTCTGTAGTGAGATGGGATTGGCACATCCACAATCTGGCTCTCAGCATGGCCACACCCTTAAGATGCATGGCAGAGGAGAAGCAACAGCCAGCTGGTACAAGTTTTGTGAGCCTGCCCCATCCTTTCCTGGCTGACAGAGTCAAGTCCAGCACCCACTTGGGGCACCTGTCATCCAAGCTAGACTTACCTCACTCTGGTTATGTGGGCCAGTGCATCTGTGCATCTGTGCCAAGATATGCTGTATGAGGAGCAGGAGGAAGGCAGCAAAAAATTCTTCCTTTATAAACACTAACTCTCACTATATGCCAGGCACTTCCTATTCTAAATACAAATATCAACTCTTTGTTTTCATATCTGTGAGGTGTGGCTGTAACTATCCCCATTTTATAGAGGAAGAAACTGAGCCACAAAGAGGTTAAGTAACTTGCCCAAGGTCACAACAGCTATTAGGTTAAATCATATGAAATTGCCATTATATGGCAATTTTTGACCTATAAAAATGATGATTCCATAGACTTGAATATAATAGCCAGTGGAGGTGTTGAGATTTGAATCCAGGTAAGCTGGCTCTAGAGCTTGTGGATTAACATTATGTCATACTTTTTCTTGAGTATCTCACTTCCCTTTTCCTTCCCAACTAGGGTTTTTCTAAACCCTTTGATCAGGCAAAACTTCGCCTTCTGATCTTCTAGGAAAGCATGATGCTTTCCAAATTGTATCTTGATTTATCTCTTCTTTCTGGATCACCTTAGCCCCTCCCATTTCAATTCAGATTTCTGCTCACATAAGATACATAAAGAGCTACTCAAGACATACCATCTTGAATTCGCTCTCTGAGAATCTGCATATGGATGCCACATCATACCCGAAAGGTCACAACATCAGCACACCCTTAACACAGAGTCTCCTTTCCAAATTGCCACTCTTACGGTGGTCCTGACCTCACTTGGCACCTTTGGCTCACAGCCTCAGAGTATTCTTCCTGTGGCATCATGAGGCTTTCTTGCCTCCATCCTGTCTTGTGCTTGTATCTGTCCACTTTCCCTTTCATTGGTCTTATCTCTGTTTTTCTGTGCTACTAGCCTCTCCTGTTCTCCAATGCTGTGGAAAGTATCTTATTTTCAAGTGTCATTTTGCCCTTTTCTGAAGGCTCAGGTGCTTTTTAAATACTTCCTGAATCCCAACTAAATTTTAGCTTTGCATGTTTTATTACTAGGATATGTTTCTGGCTGGCCCCATAGCTTCTCTCAAATGATCATTCTGCCCAAGGGCTATGTGATCGAACACAAAAATCCACCTGTCTTCACCTGCATTTATCTGAAAACCTTCCTTACATGAAAATTCCCTCTTTTCTCCTCTTTTGCCTTTCCCTCTCCCACTATAAGACTCTGATCTCTCCAAACCTTCAGAAGTCCCTTAATCCAACAGCTTCATTGTTGTCTTGGGAGCAATCTTGGATTAAAATCTGGAGTTTCACCTTCTAGACCAACTCTGCATGAGACAGAGCACCTTTCTGTTTCCTTTTCTTTAAAACAGGAATAATCCTGACTCAGTCATTGTCCAGTGCCAAGACCAGGGCACCACTTCACCCTCCACTCTTCCTACTTCATTTCTACATCTTCACCACCTTGATTAAGACTCAATCCACAGTCTAGACACAGATGATAGCTTCTCCATAGGTCTTCTGCCTCCCTTTCCCATACACAAACATACTTTGTCTGTTAGTTTTGACATAATAGATGGGACAGTATAGTGAACACAGTCTTATATAAATACAAAGGGTACAGTTACTACCCTCAAAAATGAATTTCCCTTTGGAGTCATGCATTCTCCATTTTGTTGTTTTTTTTTTTTTTATTTTTATTTTTTTATTTTTTTATTTTTTTTTTTTATTTTTTATTTTTTTTTATTTTTTTTATTTTTTTTTATTTTTTTATTTTTTTTATTTTTTTATTTTTTATTTTTTTATTTTTTTTTATTTTTTTTAATTTTTTTTATTTTATTTTTAAAAATATTTTATTTATTTATTTGTTTGTTTATTTATTATTTATACAAGCACTGGGTACAGTCAGAAGCGCGGGAGGGTGAGAGAATTCACCAGAGCCAGGGCGAGGGGCAGAGCAGGCAGAAGGACCGAAGTACACTGCTGAGGGGAGCAGCGGGCGGCAGGAGAGGTCCGCGCGCCATGTGGGACCCTCCTCTGGTGGCCGGGGAGCAGCCGGGGATCGAACCGGCGCCGCAGAGGCTGCGGGCAGCTTCGCAACCCAGCGCTTAACCGCTGCGCCACCGCGGAGGCCCTCTCCATTTTGTTTTAAAGATCCTCTCACTGTTTACTTCTGCATAGTCATTTGCTTACAATGGTAAATACATGATGTAACCACAATGTTTCTTCTCTCTCACCAGGAGCTGAAACTCTCTTCCCACGAGGAGGCCTTGTCCTTTGTGTCCCTGGTGGATGGCTATTTCCGACTCACAGCAGATGCCCATCATTACCTCTGCACCGATGTGGCTCCCCCATTGATCGTCCACAACATACAGAATGGCTGTCATGGTCCAATTAGGTTGGTTCTAGCACCTTTTCAGTTACCTTGGTGTGAAAAGAACCCATATTTTAGTGATGGGAGGTGTGGCTGCCTCAGACAGTTGAGCGTGTTGTTTAGTACTTGTTTGGTATTCTCTTCCATCCTTGCTCTTGGTTGGTGAAGACTTGCTGTCATATCTTAACCTTGGTTCTTGCAGCTGCCTTTCATCTCTTCTCCCTTATTGGTGTCTTCTCATAGTTTAACCCCTTATCTCTGCATAGCTGTACTTCCTAATACTTTGCTATGTCAAGCACTATGGGTGACTCAAGAAAGATAGTACACAGATCAGACAAGTGTAATGGAAATCTGAATCACCTTGTCCTAAAGTGCCAGATGCACGGTGGAATCAGAGAGGGTGACAAAGTCTTCAAGCAATAAGGGGCTTTGCAGGATCTCTTTTCTTACCTGCTTGTCAGAACTAGTTGGGTGAGCTGAAATGCCTCTGTGATGGGGTACTTAGGACTCAGTGAAGCAGCCAGTGTATTACAACTCTAACAAACATATACCTTTTTCAGATGAAGTTTGAAAACTTCTGCTTATTCATTTGAGTTCTGCCATTTGAAACAACAGGGGTTTACCTTAATTCCACTTACATATGACTATGTATATATATACATCTCTTCATATGCCTTTCATGTGATGTGGTTCCCACTTCATCCCTATCCCAGTTACCTTGTAGACCATTAATTTGTTAGTGATGTGGAAAGGTTCACAGACTCATGGGGAGACACATAGAATTGCAGAGCAGGGGGTTAAGCAGTTGAATAAAGCATGTCCCTCAAATACCCCAGCCACAGGTAAGCTTCGGAGCCCTGACAGTTGGTCTTCCTTTGACCTGGAATGTCCTTCCTCCAGAATATACACAACTGCTTTCTTCAGGTGTCACTCAAATTGTCATCTCAAGTGAAATAACAGCACCTTTCCCCCTTTGTAACCCACACTTCCTGGCTCCTTCACTTTGCTTTATTTTTCTTCAGTGGCAGGTATTCCCTCCTAATACTATGTTTATTTCTATGTCTGTTTCTTGTCAGCCTACCCATACCAATCAAATTATGAGTGCCATAAAGGCAGGGACACTGTCTCCTTTGCTCATTACTTTTTTCAGCACTCACAGGTGCCCTGGTACATTGTAGACATTCAGTATTTATTGAATGTTTCCTGTCTAAGAGTCCTCTCAGAGTAGGCAGCATTCAAGTCAGATTAAACTTTGAAGAATTAGTGATGGTTTTCCAGGTCTTGAAGAGAATGGAAAGGGTATCCCTGATGAGAGATCTACATGTGCAAAGGTATGAATGTATCAGAGACCATGGAGCAGTTGGTAATTACTCTCTTAACATGTTGATCACATCAGCCGATTCTCACCAGAAATTAGTGACCCACTAATAGCATTCACTAAGTATTACCACTCACTAAGGTTATTACCTTACACATGTATTTATTTAGCAACCATCACTGTTCTTTATGTGCCAAGGCTGATTGGAGTGTAAGATAGGCATGCTCTTTTGTAACAACTTAGGAATCTTTGATTTCTTTCTTCAGTATTCATTACTCATTCACTTTTTTTTTTTTTTTTTTTTTTTATTAAGCAGCTGCTACAAGTCAGGCATTCTCTGGGTACTGGGGATCAGCATTCAACTTCAAATCCATGCCTTCCTGAGGCTCATGTTCTAGTTGTACTAACTGGGGATGGTGGAGAGAGTCCCCTACTATTGCATCATGAACCTTGTCAGAGCTGGAGACAGCATGGCTGGGGAACTTGGGGATAAGCAGGACTCAGTGCCTTGGGCAGCAGGTTGAATCTTCTTCTAGACATTGGACTGTATTGTGGTTCCTCAGTATTTCAGCTTGCCGTGTGTATCATATCAGAGGACTTTAAGGGAGTAAGGTAGGTAATGTGATTGGCCATTAGATATGAGATAGCTCAGGAAGTGAGATACCCCATGAAATTCAGAATGTTCTTACTTGATATGAGCTTTCTCTCCCTTTGCCTCTCTCCCTCTAGCACAGAATATGCCATCAATAAATTACGGCAAGAAGGAAGTGAGGAGGGGATGTACGTGTTGCGGTGGAGCTGCACTGACTTTGACAACATCCTCATGACCGTCACCTGCTTTGAAAAGTCAGAGGTCAGTCAGTACATTGACTTGGACCAACTCATACGGCCATAGAGTATCCAGTGCAACCAGGAGCTGCTGCAGAGAGCACTACCCTTGGGGAGAGGGAAAAGAATATACTGGGTTGCAGAAAATCCCTGACAAGGGTAACCTCTCCAGAACCTTTTCTCCTCATGGCCCTTTCTTCCTTCAAGGACCTAATGGCAGGGGTCTACTGTGACTCCAAAAGAAAATCACTTCACTCCAAACACCTGTGAACTTTAGTGTAATCAGTTGGAGTGGTTTATTTTACTCGTGCCAAGGTCATCATGGGCCCAGAACTGTACCTGCTTGTGGCAGTCACTGGTATAAGCCTGTGCCAAGAATGCTGACTTGGCAGCCTGGCCTCACACAGTTTTCCCCATATGATAACCTTAGACTTTTTTTTTTTTTTTTAAAAGATTTATTTATTTATTTATATAAGCACTGGGTACAGTCAGAAGCACGGGAGGGTGAGAGAATTCACCAGAGCCAGAGGGGGGAACAGAACAGGCAGACCGACGAAATATTCCACTGAGGGGAGCAGTGGGTGCGGCAGGGGAGGTCTGCATGCCATGTGGGACCCTCACCAGCAGTCAGGGATCGAACTGGTGCTGCAGAGGCTGCGGGCAGCTTTGCAGCCCAGCGCTCAACTGCTGTGCCACCAAGGGAGGCCCAACCTTAGACATTTTAAAAGACAAATTATTGTCCCATGTTTTGACAAGTGGAAATGTTTATTAGTGACTCAACTGTAGCTAGAAGCTGGGAATGATGTGAGAGAAGTACTGAAAGATTAGAAGTCAGAATTGTTGACTTTATCTCGGTAGACCATAGGGCCTTTATTATTAGTATTTTTTTTAAAGCATATCAACATCTGTGGGATGTCTTTATTTTTTTTTTTTTTTTTTTTTTTTTTTTTTTTTTTTTTTTTTAGAGGCATGTTTTTTATTTATTTATTTGTTTGTTTGTTTGTTCTGTTTACACATGCACTGGGTACAGTCAGAAGCGCGGGAGGGTGAGAGAATTCACCAGAGCCAGAGTGGGGAGCAGAGCAGGCAGAAGGACCGAAGTACACTGCTGAGGGGAGCAGCGGGCGGCAGGAGAGGTCTGCGCGCCATGTGGGCCCCTCCGGTGGCCGGGAGCAGCCGGGGATCGAACCGGCGCCGCAGAGGCCGCGGTTCGCAACCCAGCGCTCAACCGCTGCGCCACCGGGGAGGCCCTGTGGGATGTCTTTAAAGCAATAGTTCGGGAAGACTTACAGCACTCTTTTTTTTAAAAAATTATTTATTTATACAAGCACTGGGTACAGTCAGAAGCATGGGAGGGTGAGAGAATTCACCAGAGCGGAGAGCAGAACAGGCAGACTGACGAAGTACACTGCTGAGGGGAGTAGTGGGTGTGGCAGGAGAGGTCTGCAGGCCATGTGGGACCCTCGCCCAGCGGCCGGGGTTCGAACCGGCGCTGCAGAGGCTGCGGGCAGCTTTGCAACCCAGCGCTCAACTGCTGTGCCACCGGGGAGGCCCAGGGCCTTTATTATTTTATAGCGTCAGAAGTATTGTAGACCTCATACACCAGCTAGGAAAAGTTCTAGAGAACTTTCTCATTACCGGATTCAATCAAGAATGGAAAGAGGAAATGGCAAAAGAACACAGTGCTGCCAAGTGTCCTGGGTGAAGTCTCTAGGGTTTATGACCTGTCTGGGGCTGTTCCTCTACAGACAGGTCTCACGGCTGATGGAAACTCAGTGGTTCACAACTTGTTAAATTTGTTGCTGGATAGGATGCACCAGTCTTACAGATTCACCAGTCTTTTGTGTTAATATTTTTAACACAAATGGGTACCTGAGACAGCCCAGCTTCCTGAGAGGGAATTAACCAGTGTGTACCAAGAATGTCAGTGACTAGTATCATGACCTACCTGAGTCCACTAATGTGGGGGAAACAGGATTCATAGATAGGATTACTTGTAATGTTTATTTTAGGTTACCGTGCCAAGCATGTTCCCTCCGTTGTTCTCCTTTAAGACTTGTAACAGATGGTGTTACCTGCATTGTCCAGATGAAAAAAACTGAGGCATCAAAATTTTAAATAACTTGTCCGACTTTTACCTTAAGGAGATCTTTCTGACTCTCATTCTTAACCACCAAAATAGTTCCCTTTGCGAAACTTTCCATGAAGGAAAACTTGTGCTCACACTTCCTCTCTGTGACATCATGCCGTTCTGACAGTGAGCCGGGCAGTTGTTGCCCCTCGCAGGCTGGCTCCCCTTAAGTAGATGTATGGTCTGCAAGAGACCATGCCTGGACTAGGGAAGTTCTGGCTACATCTTACTACTGTTACTTACTATTTTATACATAATACTATTTGCTAATCTTTATGAAGTGCTTACTTTCTATGCACCATGTCATTTAATGTTGGTGTTTTCATGAATTTAATTTTACAAGTCTAAAACGAAGTGATACTGTTAGGGAATTCACTGCTCTGTCCATTGTGCCTTCTCCTGGATCCCCTTTTATTATTTTCTTACTTACCATTTCATTTGTTTATAATAAACTTTTTTTGTTAAACATTTATAGATATGTTGAGGCAGTGCAGTTTGTCTTTGCTCTTCCCCCATGTCCCATATCATTGGCATCGCAAAAAAACTATGGTACATTTGCCTTTGCCTGACTCCTTTTCAAACATATCGCTTCTGCTTTTTTTCCTGAATGGCAGGTGCTGGGTGGCCAGAAACAGTTCAAGAACTTTCAGATTGAGGTTCAAAAGGGCTGCTATAGCCTGTACGGCTCAGACAGCAGCTTCCCCAGCCTGAAGGATCTCATGGGCCACCTCAAGAAGCAGATCCTGCGCACGGACAACATCAGCTTCGTGCTGAAGCGCTGCTGTCAGCCCAAGCCCCGAGGTCAGTCTCCTGTACAGAGGTAGGCCCTCAGTGATGCTCTGTCCCTCAGTGATGCTCTGAGACTCAGATCAACCAATAGATGCTGGCTGGCTTGTAGAAAGTGGCCTCTTCCCGCTGTCTGTAGGTGTTTTTCATTAAGGTTATAAGTCTGACCCCAATTCAAATCTATTCCTCAAGTTCAGTATTTTTAGAAAAGACACTATACCTTCTCTCAACATTTTAATTAGGCTGCAGAAAGAGGCATGTTTAGGATTAGTAAGCAGAAATTTACTTTTTTTCCTTCATTAAAATAGTGTCTTAACAGTTCCCCTGTCAGTGGTTTGTATTTCTGAGAAATGTTCTTGGCACATTTGTGGGCCAAGGACTATCAGATTCAAAGGATCAGAGTGTATATAAGACCCAGTCCCTGCACTGCAATCATTTCCAGTCTACTACAGAGTACATTAGGGGCACATGAGACCACCACATTGTGACAGGTCTTTTAAGCAGCACACACATACCTGCCCCTGGAGTTGCAACAAAGAGAATTGTCAGGATCTCAGAGTTACATGACATGGACGGTTGCATGGAAGAGACAGATCTTGAACTGAGTACTAGACAGTGACCAGGGGGTTGCCCATTAGATGAGGGTATATCCAGCAGAGTGTGTGCAGGGACAAAGCAGCAGGCAGATGATTTGAGAGGGCTAATGTATTTATGTAATTAAAGGGGTAGGTGACACTGGGAGCGGAGAGATTTGGGATCACGGGAGGCCTTGGGTGGCATGTGAAGTTGCTGGGAATTTATCCTGCAGGCAGTGAGTGAGCAGCCATGTGAGGATCAATTGAGTATGATAGGAGAGGTGAGAAACTCAGTTGCTCTTTTTTAAGCCCCATGAATGCTGTCACTGGTGTCCTGCAGGTAGATTCAGCACCTCTTTGAGTGATGAACCAGGACACATAGGGGTCACCTGGTCTAGTGCCTCACTTTATAGATGAGAAAATGAAGGCTCAGAGAAGTGAAGAAGGTTTTGAGTTCCAGGTCAACTCAAATGCTAGATCCCTTCAGTATTGTTTTTTGCATTCCCCCACTGCAAAGCATTGCCCTGAACATGTCACATCCTAGCCTCAAAGAAAGGGCAACAGTTGTTCCTAAGGCCCTAACAAGTGTCTGTTGATGACACTCTGAGCAGTGTCTTTGCCTGAGATACGGCTTGGTTTTTTTTTTTTTTTTTTTTTTTTTTAAGGGAATGTGCATGTGAGGCTTTGCATCAGGGGTAAGCAGAAATGATAGGCCAAAAAAATGGGCTGGGTTCTTAATGTTTGAATCACTTTTTGGTCTCCTAACAAGGGACTGTCATTGAACTGGTGAAAGAGGAGGGACTTTTTCTTGTTGATCAGATAGAGTTTCAGGCCAGTCTCAATTGTAGTCTTTGTTTTTGTCCTTGAAGACATTCCGCAAAGGTAAAACACATCCGCCACTTAGCCCTGAGACTCTGAGTGAGTTAAAAACCTTAAAGCCCAATGACCTCCTCATATATGAGGAGAGAGATTGTGAAAGATTATGACTAGTAGAAGCGGTTTTGACTTTCCTAAGGATTCGTGGTCATTGGGTGAGTTTGAAATAGAGAATAGCAGCCACAGGAAAAGGAAAAAGGTGGTGGCAGGTGGAGACTGTGATGTGCTTTCTTAGTAGCGTTCATCTGTGCAGGTGTCTGCTGTAGACAGTGCCCCTACTTGCCCAAACCTGGGACTCAGTAGCTGTGGTGGGAGAAGAAAAGCAATAGAATTAAATGGCTCTCTCCTGGCTTCTGCGGAGACTCCTTGAACTTTGACTGAATATATGTGGTGTCTGTCTTTCCCATTTGATTATGAACTCTTTATTTTTTTTAAAGGTTTTTTATTTATACAAGAACTGGGGTACAGGCCAGAGGCGTGGGAGGGTGAGGATTCACCAGAGACAGAGTGGCAGACGGGCCAAAGACACTGCTGAGAGTAGCAATGGGTGAGGCAGGAGAGGTCTGTTGTGCCATGGATACCCGGGAATCGAGCCTGCGCTGCAGAGGCTGCGGACAGCTTCACAGCGCTGCACTCAACCCACTACGCCACCTGGGAGGCCCTGATTATCAACTCTTTAGATAAGATCTGGGTCTCACCATTCTGACTTGTGGAACCACAGTGCCCAGTACAGAAGTAGTGCTCTCTAATGTCTGTAATGTGACTAATTACAACAGGAGCTACCACAATGCTGGTGCCTACTAATCTCAAGCAATTTGCATGCAGATTTGCATTCTTTCAACCATGCATTAGCTCTTTGCATTTCATTCAACCACACATTAGCTCTATTATAAAGATTAGGAAATTGAGACTCAAAACATGTTCAGTGACCTGCTCTCAGCCACATATTTAGTCATATCAGTGGTTAATAATAGTAGCAGAGACTACCATGTAAGTAATGCTCTAAAACATGGACACTATTCCATGTTTTAAGTCATTTAATCCTCGGGACAACCCAGAGTATATTGTTCTTCCCATCATATTTGCCAGTAGTGGGGATTTGAACTCACATCTTCTGACTCCAACTCCAGTTATCTTTTCCCTAGGTCATACTCTCTTTGCAGAGGTGTGAGTGCAGTAGTCAGCCTAAGACTCAGGGACAAGGAATTTCTCTTTATCTGGGGAGGGAAAGGAAGGGACTTGAGGTGGAAAAGAAAGAATAAACTTAGTGTGTGAGATTTCCTTATTCATATCTTCAGATGCCCTCTCTTACCTCTGTCACCTGAAAGTTAGAGAAGTGGTGAAATCATGAATATAAAATAGAATGTCATTTTGGATTCTTCTGTATCTCTGCCCTTCTAACCACAAAGTCCTGATGACCAGACCTCAACCAGGGTTTCTCACTTGAAAATGCAGCTGCAAAACTCCTCATGGAATAAATAAAAAGCAGGTGGCTGCTCACCTGCTATCACTTACTATGACAGTAAAGCAAGTCTACCATCTCTTGTGCGTTGTCCAGCCCAGCTGTCCCTCTCCAAGCCTCAGGGTGACCCATAGGATTCACCAGCCTGGTCCCTACTGATCCTCTCACATCCTCATCTGTATAATCAAGCTTGGTGCTTGGCTTCTACACTCTTCAGCTCTGACTCTCAGAATTTCTGCAGCCTGTTGCCAAGGTGCAGAGAACCAGCTGGCACAACAAGGATGCTGCTGCTGACTAGTATGTAATTCTGGCCATCATCACATGACTATCAATCACAGAGCACTCACTCTACACAGGTACTGAAGTAAGCCCTTAACGTGCATTATCTCTTCCCCCAGAGCAGTCTGATGAGGGGCATGAGTATGGTCCCATTTTTTAGGGACAAAATAAGTTCATGGCGGTTAAATGATTTTCAGCCCAATGATCCCTGAAACAACCACACAAATAATCACCCCTCCAGTGGCCCCTATTCCTGTCCTCCTTTCTAATTTCCCAAATGGCTCTACTGCCCCTCCCCTTTCCTGTGGACATTCAAAGGTCTTTTCTTGATGTCTTTTTTCCATTAGGGCAGTCCTGAGTGACTTGAATCTGATTTTACCCAGGTAACAGGGTGGAGTTAGGGGAACACAATGAAGAGGAGACTCTGGAAAAAGGAGTACCCAGGCTGTGATTAACAGGGGAGTCTGTGCTTTCTGTGAGTTTGTGGCACCCAGATTTGTCAACGCCACTGGGGCTGTGTGTGGGAAAGATAAGAGACAGGCGCTATCCCTGATTTCAGTGTGAATCACTAGTCTGGGATTTGTGCAAATTGTTTAATTTCTCTGAGTCTGTTTTCAGATCTCTAAAGTGGGAGATAACATTACATACCTTACAGGATTGTTAGAACAAAGGAGTTAATGTTTGTAAAGCATTAGGACAGTGGCTGGCATAAAGAAAGCAGTCAGAAAATGTGAACTTAAAAAAAAATAAGGGAAAACAATCTGTGCTAGAGGGAAGCGATTACTTGGTCCACTGTAAGGTTGCAGCACCCAGCAGTTTATCAGTAAATATAGAAAAGTCTTCATGGGTTACCAGGTACCTGGAAAGTACTTTTTTTTTGCTTGATGATATCCTTGAATTTCGAAGTAGTGCTACATGTGCTGACGCTGGTCCTACACATTTTGTGATATATTTGGTTGCTGTTTGAATCAATAGAATTTGCTCATAATCTGCATGGTCAGCAAGATTTAGTGAGCACCTCCTGGTGCCAGGCAGTACTGGGAGCCCTGACAGGTTCAGGTACAAGACTCATTTTGCATCAAGTGCTCTGTTGTGCACAAAACCAGTGTTTTTTCACCCTCCTGCCTTGGTCCCCAGGCCCAGCATACTGCTTCCTTTCTCCTCAGGTCTCACCCTTCCTCTCACACCCTCCCTGGGTGTTCATTCATACATTTAATAAATGTGTTTTGAGTGCTGACTATGTACCAGGCTGTGGAGGTAGAGCTGGAAATAAGATAGTCACAGTACCTGTCATCTTAGAGTGTTTGTGCACAGATTTTAAATTTCATTTCTTCAGGTAAACCTTTCTTCACCCTTCTCGCCAGTGAACATGCTGCCGTGTCCACCCCGGGGCACCTGTGCCTGTCTTAGAGTAGCTGTGCAAGTTGTAGCTTTCCTTTTGATTGGTGTATTTTTTTATTAGTTTTAGCTCTGTTACCAGCCTGTGAGTTCATCAAGTACTTACTCAGTAAATACTTGTTGAATGACTAAACCAGTGAATGCACAGTTTGTGTTTAGGAACCCTTTTGGCTCAACAGATACCTGGATTTGGACGTTTACCGCTCTGCTCAGACTTCTCCACTCTCATTCACAGAAATCTCCAATCTGCTGGTGGCTACTAAGAAAGCCCAGGAGTGGCAGCCTGTCTACCCCATGAGCCAGTTGAGTTTCGATCGGATCCTCAAGAAGGACATTGTGCAAGTGAGTCATTGCTGCTCTTCTTGAGTTCAGCCTTGGTCCTGCCTGCTGATGAGGAGTAGCCTGGGGACTTGGGAATGAAGTCTAGGTTTGGGCCACCCTTTTGGAAAAAGGACAGGACTTCTTTCATAGTTGAAGTTGTTTAACCATTGCCCTGCCATCCTGTCTAGCCTTGCTGATGTTCCCCAGAGACACTTCTCCTTGAAGGAAGTAGATTAGGTTTTATGGGGTTATCTAGGATTACAGGGTTCTTCTGTTGTGAGTCCTTTGCAGTTAGAGGAAGTTGGAGGAAATGCTGATAGGGCAGTACAGTGAGATCTTCCCAGGGAATGTGGACTGATGACCCTTATTGTCCCACAGTATGCTGTGTGACACAGCACTTGTGAAGTTCTGTCTGGGTTTTCTTTTTTTTTTAAAGATTTATTTATTCCTACATACAAGAGCTAGGGTGCAGGCCAGAGGTGCAGGGATTGAGGATTCACCAGACACAGAGTGGGGAGCAGAACAGGCAGATCTACCAAAATACACTGCTGAGGGGGAGCAGTGGGTGAGACAGGAGAGGTTTGCTGCGCCATGGGGGTTAGCTCCCTGACCAGGGATCGAACTCGTGCTGCATTGGTTGCAGATAGCTTCATAGATTTGACCCCTTGCACCACCAGGGAGGCTCTATCTGGGCTTTCTGATGATGCTTCTAGAAGGAGGACAATGAGGGAACAGCAGAAGCGAACTCATGGCCTGAAGAATGGTCTTGAAAACAGATCCCTCAGACCACTGTCCTAACCTTGTTGGCCTTTTGCCCAGAATCTGCAGCTGTAGGTTGACTTATTTCCTTGTACTTCCCTTGTACTTTGGTTAGTTTCTGTTCTACATCACCCCTTCCCCCTCCCCCTCTCCCACCCCCTTACACAGAGCCACATACACCTTGGGGAGTCTGAGGAGATAACATACCAGCAGCTTTGGAAAAAAGGAATCTGCTCTGGGCTGTTTATTATCTGGTAGAGGCTGTGACACCTTGTGGGTTGTTAGAGGAGGAATCATAGGCCCCACTACCCCTAAGGAACCTGGTGGAGGGTCGCAGCCATGGGATGAGTTGGTTTCCTATTCTAAAGTTAATCCCTGAAATTGTTGGGTAGGGTTTTGAGGGAATGGAAGTTCGTAACTTCCTCACTTCACTTATGATAAATTCTTTACTAAGGACTGATGTTTATTGTTCTGTCCCTCTAGTGGTGTCAGAGCTGTGCCCAGAGAGTAAAATCACCAGAGTAGGCAGTATTCCAACCTCTTACATATCTCAAACTTGAAACTATACCTGGGGCCTGCCTTCTTTCCTTCACTTTGAACCTCTGGCCAGATACCTACCATCTTCTATGACCCTGTCCTCCTTTAGTCAATGATGATTGAGCATTTCCATGTGCCAGGCAGTTGCCACCTGTAGCTGGCTCATAGTCTAGTGGAGGAGGCAGACTCTTATCTTTAAGTAGGTAATTACATTATCAAGAGACAAGTCTTAAATAGAGAAGTACAGTAGGATGCTGGATTGTCGATGTCTATCATCCTACCTTTCATGGAAGGACAGCAGCAACTTCCTGGGGAAGTGGCATTAAAGCAGAGTGCCAGAGAACAAACTGTAAGAGCTAGGCAAAGGCAGAGGAAACAGCCTGGAAGGAGGCTGAGGCGCGACATTGTGGGTCACCGTAGAATCCTAAAAGTATGGTTCCAAGACTTGGTCACTGGATAAAGTAACCCTTTACTTGGAGAAGAGTAATTATTCTGAAAGCCCATGGCTTTTACAGTATATTCTGGGAACACAACTTCCCATCGTCTTGAATTGCTTCATGACAGATGCAGCTTTCATGATAGTCACAGGACCTTGCCAGGAGACAGGGCAGATGGAGCACCTTTCTGCCAGGATAAATGACGAGTGGCCATGTATCCACTTAGTGATTGTGTATGTTCTTGTGTGGGGGAAGATTCCCTTGGAATCAGCCACAATGCATTTTCTGCACTTACAGGGGGGCCTAGGACAACAGGATGATAGAAAGTAGTTTACAAGTTTTGTGGGGTTACTGTCAATAGCTTGACAGTGCCTAAGTTCGATGAATCACATTGTAGTTTCCACCTATTGAGAATACTACACTTAGAATTATTAAAGCTCAAACCAGAAGGGTCCTTAGAGACAGACAGATCATTGTGTGCTAAAGGCTTTGTGCAGATGATCTCATTTTCCAGGTACTCCACCCTTTTTTTTTATGGTATTACCCTTTTCATATGTGAGGAGACCGTGACTTGTCCATCTAGTATCTAGTCTCTGCCTTTACACATCACCGGCTCCTCTGTGGGATCACTAAGGTGAATGCATGTATGAATTGCATCACTGATTGTAAAGCTTAGCACCCATGCACACATACATTAATTACATGATGGATGGAAAGTAAGCAGTTTCAGCCTGAGAAATGTGTACCTCGTCTAGAGGGCAATCAAACAAAACACATCAGCCCAGCAGATTGGTTTCTACCCACTGAGTGCCGGGGAGCTTTTATACCTCTTTCCTCCATTGCTTCTTACAACAACCCTTGGTTGGTACCGTTATTCTGTTTTATAAAGTGAATGGAGACTGAGCACAGTGAAAGGATGACCCCATGATAAATGGACACCAAGCAGTAGAGCCAGGACTAGTAAGCCCCTTCTCTTCATATTGCAGTCGGAGTGGAGGGGCCTCTTCGGGTTCTCTCCAAGTCTTCTGTGGAAGCCTGGCTGTTTGTGGTACTGAGTGAAGTTTTGATCTTAGGCCAGAATTATGTTTTCGCCACAGATTGTTCTGGAAGTAGAAAAGAAGGAACTGTTTAACGAGTATGAGGATCATCTTGGGGGCTCCAGGAACTGCCACAACTGTGTTTGAGCAAGTAACTTTTAGTCCTCTGTGACCTGACAAGGATAAGGAACAGGAGGCTGAGTGCTGCTGGGGCTCTTTTGTCTTTGCCACACTGTCCAGTATTCTGGTTCTCATTCAAGTTTCAGTCCCAGACTAAGGCATCATTGCACCCTCAGAGAGCAGTCACTTCAACCTTTTATTTCCTCCTACAGGGCGAACACCTTGGGAGAGGCACACGGACACACATCTACTCGGGAACCCTTGTGGATTACAAAGATGACGAAGGGATGGCTGAAGAGAAGAGAGTAAAAGTGATCCTGAAAGTCTTAGACCCCAGCCATAGGGACATTTCTCTGGTAAGTGTTTTCCTCATAATTGTACCCCTTTGCCCCGTTTCTGGAGCCAGCATAGCAGAGTGGGCTGGAAGAACCTTTGCATTTATTTTGGCCTCAGGGTTTCTAAACTTCTCTTTTAGTCAGGATTCTTTTGTTCAGATACAATCTTCAGCAAACTCAGCAGGTAAAGCAAGTTAGGGACAACTAAGGATGAAGATCTCTAAGGGGCCCCTTCCACTTGGTCTTCTCTGTGCACTCTACTCTCCTGTTCCCCACCTACAGGTCCTTGTGGGATGCCCTGGAGCCCCAGGGTGCTAGCTGAATGGTCTGAGTCCCTGATGCAGTCCAGGGCTGTCAGTTTCAGTCTGGAAAATTAGAGCCCAGAGGAGAAAAATGACTTACCGAGGGTTAAAGACTCCTGGAGTGATAAAGCCAAGCCTTGACAGCTAGATGCTACTGCCTTGGTTTTCTTTAATCCTATTACAGTGCCAAACACTGTTATTTCCTAAAAGTTAAAGGAAGCAAAAAAGTGGTAACCATGCACAGCCAATGGGGACATTGTTAGCTAGCTTGTCCCATAAGCCTGGCTCTACATCTTCCTAGGTTTTCTAAATCCCACATTCCAGTCAAAGTGGCTTGAGATGTAGAGACTTAGTATGGCCCCTTGACAGTCAAGGGCCGGGCTTGAGATGATGAGCATTGCCAACTTTCCTGGATCCAGTGACTTTCCTCTTAGCATTACCACACTCTGGGATTAGACCGGTGGAGGCTGGTCCTTGACATTCCTTCCTCTGTTTTCCCACAGGCCTTCTTTGAGGCAGCCAGCATGATGAGACAAGTCTCCCACAAACACATTGTGTACCTCTATGGTGTCTGTGTGCGAGATGTGGAGAGTAAGTGTCTTGTCTATGGACGGGGAGTTTGACCCTGGCTGGGGAGCAGAGGTCCTGTGGAAACAACTGGGAACTGCTTCCTCCTACAGGTTGCCTAGGCTTCTTAACCTTTCTTTTTGAATTCGAGGAATTTGAGGTACTGAGCAGGTTACTTGCTTAAGTTAATAATGGCCATGCAACAAATCTCATTTGAGTTTCACTCATTTTGTAAGTTTACTTCTTGTCGACCCTGGGCCCAGTGCTCTGCTGACCTGGGAGGTTGGGGTGAATAAAATGAGTTCATTGCCCTGAGAGCCAGAGTTGGAGCGGCTCTGGGCGGGAGCCAAATCCAGGCCTGTCCAGGTCTACAGCTCTCTGCCATTTGTACCTCCCAGGAAGTCTGTGTCCTTCCATAGCCATCTAGTTCAGTGGTCTCTTGTGAGCAAGTGAGGGAGAGTACTGTCTCTCACATTTAGAAGGTTCCAGTTGTGACTATTTTTGTGTTTGTAGATATCATGGTAGAAGAGTTTGTGGAGGGGGGCCCTCTGGATATCTTCATGCACCGGAGAAGTGACATTCTCACCACACCATGGAAGTTCAAAGTTGCTAAACAGCTAGCCAGTGCCCTGAGTTACTTGGTAAGTATATTGTTGTCCATGAGGCCCCCCCCAGGAACCAGCATGTCCTAAGAGAGGGCGGCAGGAAGGAGGGGTTAGCAAGCAGGTGGCAGGGGCTTAGGCTCTGTGGTTAAACACAGGTGTGCCTGGAGCTGAGTGGAAAACGGTCATTCTGGATTTTTCCGTGTGCTCACATAGGACGTTTTAGCATGTGAGAACACTGGCTCCGTATTCCAGTATAAGGCAGGAGTGCAATACTTGTTGGATGAATTAATGAAACCAGGAGTATCCGTACTAGCTAACATTCACTATGTACTTATCAGGGCTCAGCTGTTCTAGTGTTTTAAAGGTTCTACTTCCTGCCTTACTGACGAGGGAACCAGACATGATAGAATGTGCTGAGCACACAGGTAGTTGGTAGGGGGCTAGGTGGTTGTGTCTGGTGGTAGCTGGGGAGAAAGGAGAAATGATATGAGGGGCCGGAGTTGGCAAAGGGGAATGTAGAAGGGGGAGATGGGCAGCCTGTGGACAGCTTTGTAGAACTCAACCTTTTTACTCTGCAGGAGGATAAGGACCTGGTCCATGGAAACGTGTGCACTAAAAACCTCCTCCTTGCCCGGGAGGGCATTGACAGCGAGTGTGGTCCATTCATCAAGCTCAGCGATCCTGGCATTCCCATCACTGTGCTGTCCAGGCAAGGTATGTCTTCCTTCAGCCTCACACCCTCCCTCGTCACCCCACACTGAGGCAGGGTTAGACCAGTGGGGAGAAGGGCTTGGGTTTGGGGTATTTTCTCCTTCGAGAAAGCATATTTCAGCAAATGGGTCTGGTGTTCCTACAGTGCTGTGGGGGCCACGGGGAGAGGGACCTTAGGGACGGCTAGCCCCTGTGCTTAAGGAGCTGACTGCAGGAGGAGGAACAGATTACTCACAGCAGGCCATGGAGGAGGAACTGTGTTCAAGGTGCTGGGGTAGCATAAAGGGAGATATTAGGCCTCCTAGGTCCTCCCCTGTGTTCCTTTTGAAATCTCTATGCTTAGTGAGCAGTTTGGGAGGCACTGAGCTGTGACCTTGCATCCTGTCTTTGAATGAGGTTATTTTGAGTTATAGGAGAAGGGCAGCCCTGGGAACTGAGCCACTGAAATGACACTTTGCCTCAGCCTTAAAGGCCGCACGTGGGGTCCTGAGCACAGTGCCTCGCACTTAATAGTTTTGCTTAATAATTCAAAGAATGGATTAAGTCTGGAAGGGAACAGGATGAAAAACAAGCCTTCTGAATAAGATCTAAATCATCCCCTGTGCTTAGGGAGCTGACTGCAGGAGGAAGAGCAGGGGCAGGCGCACCCCTGAGTAGATGACATTTATCATCCAGCCATCATCAAACCGGAGGCACATTTCAGCCCTGAATGTGTTGGGGTCTGAGACAGGGACACAAATGACTCTAGACAAAGCAGAGAAGTTGGAGCTAGCTCTCCACCAGAGATGCCAGTAAAATGTGGTGGGCATTCAGAAGAGTTATCACCCAATGGGGTCAGAGGTTGGTCCATGGAGGTGGTAGGAGTTCATCTGGGTCTTGATCCAGGTCAGTGAAATGGGCCCACAGCGGGGTGATGGCAGGCACTTTATCCTAGGGCACTGCCTGCACTTGCTGTGCCAGGAGGAAGGTGGGGGGAAGGCTGGGGTGGAAGGTAAGCGGACCAGCCTGTGAATACCCAGCTTAGAAGTGACCCTGCTGCCGCCGTTCTTCAGGATCTGGGAGATGCCATGCTTGCTGAGGGCAATTCCATGGACATGACAGGGATTTCTGCTCTGTTCACTGGCTCTGGTCTTGGTTAGAAACCAGAACAAGGGCTGCAGAGATCCCTGGGGGCAAGAAATGTCTAATGTCTTTACTGCAGTCTTTCCTTGTTGTTTCTCAAATGAGAGAAAACCAGTAAAAATGAATGTATAGCACTTAAAGGGGGCTGTGCGGTGTATGAGATTAGCTCGTGCCTGCTCTGCACAGGTTGTCCTCGTCTCCCCTGCCTTCACTTTCTGAAGTCTTTGTCCCCACTGCTCCCTGAACCCCCATCCCCAGGGGGTTGGCCTCCAACGTGGTGCTTTGCTGTTTCTTAGGCCAGGGTTTCAGAAGATTGGCCGTGTGCAGTCCAGCAGAGGAGCTTGTGGTACATGGAATGTCTGCTGGCCCTGACTCTTGACTACTTCCTCCCAAGTGCCAGGGTGAAGGGCCTGGAAACCACACCTTTAATGGGCTTTCCAAGGAATGTGTTTTGAAAACACTAGTTGAAATAGTTTGTTAGCTCACTGTACTTGCTGTAATGACAGTGATTTATTCCCCAGGTGATTCCAGAAACTAATCTGTAAATGGCTCGTCTTTTCCAGAGTGCATAGAACGAATCCCATGGATTGCTCCTGAGTGTGTTGAAGACTCTAAGAATTTGAGTGTGGCTGCTGACAAATGGAGCTTTGGAACCACACTCTGGGAAATCTGCTACAATGGCGAGATCCCCCTGAAAGACAAGACACTGATTGAGGTGAGCAGTCGTTTTCCATAGTGTGAGCTGAGTGAGGACTCCTTGGATGCTCAGGGTCATCTCGGTAGTTATCAGGAAGTCTTAGGTTGAGGGAAGAGGCGTGCATGAGTTTAAATCTCCTCCAGGGACTTACAGGCTGTGTGACCTGCAAAATGTAACCTAACTTCCCCGAGCCTTGGTTTCATCATCTGTAAATGGGGATAAGTAGTAACGACTTTGGATGTAGGGTGCTTCAGATGTAGGAACTCAGTGGATTGTTACAGTCTTATTTGCCAAGGTTTGTGGAATTAACACAGAGATACAGTTCCAACTGTGCATCAGGCATTGTCCTAGGTAGAAATTCAGGATAAAATAGACACAGCTCTTGCCTTCCCTTGAGGATCTTAGAATGGGGTAGGAGAATTTGGCTAGAATAGCAGTAATGATTTTACAAATGTTATCTAAAACTTTTTAAAAATGCTGTCACCCAGGAACCTAGCTCATTAGGTAGGGCAGTGCCATTACCTTCATTTTACAGGTCAGGTAGCCTAGGTAGAACGCTTTGTAATTAGTGTGCAAACCAACAGTGTTCTCATAGCTTTGTTTTGCTTTGTTAATTTTGATGGTACTATGTTATATAGTATGTAGATTGCATTATGTAGTATGTAGATTGGATACAGGGAGTCCAAAACACACACCTGGGTTTCTCAGCGAGAATGTACAATAGGTGTTCCTCTTTCACATTTATTTGCAGAAAGAGTGGAAACTCTTAAACTCCGAAGGGACAAAGTAGTACAGATAACAGAAAGGACCACTGACCCTTACTCACTGATCAGATGCTTGGATTGTGCTTTGTGTTTAGGGAGGCAGAGAGGAAGTGATCAGAATCCAGGGACAGTGGCACTTCAGTTGTCTTGGGGAACTGCTGCGCGGTTTCCCATGTATTCTGGAGCGTTGGGAGCATGGAGAGGAATGACTGGGAGATGGGTGGGAAAGGTCGTTTGTGGTCAGATTGTTTGAGACCTGAATTCCAAGCTGTGGAATTTTACTGGGGGTGAGATGGGATGGTGAAGGGTTTGGGTGGAGGAGTGAGGTGCCCTAACAGCAGCTTGGGGACCGTGCCTGCTGACACAGTGGCTGGATGGGTGGGCAGAGGAGATATAAGGCAGGAGATATAAGGCAGTAGGACTCCTGCGCGAAGGCTCTCTGTGTTGGGATGTTTAGCCTGGGCTTTTGGGAAATTGATTTTAACTTCTTTGGAAAAGAAAATTCAGCATTGCTTATTGTCAGTCACAATTTCTTGAGTACCTGCTGTGTACCCAGGGCTGAGCAGCACACAAGGTGGAATTAAGGAAGGGCTGTGCCTTTGAAAATAAATAGACTGCCTCCGCCCAGAGTCCCTGCTTGGCTGAGATGGTTTTCTCGCCTGCGGTACTGCAGCAGGGAAGGGTGGGTGACTCTAGAGAGGCCAGGACAGCTGGCAGCTCCTTAATTCCCTCCACTTCCTCCTGTTTGTTTGGGTCCTACTCTTACCCTGCTGCAGAACCCACAGGTAGCAGGAGAGAAACAAGTGCTCTGGGATTCAGATATAGGCTGAAAAACTATGGTGCAGTGATTTTAATTATTAGAATCTGAATTTTCAAGCAATAAACACTTGAAAATTTGGGAAACAAAGAAAGCTATTTAAAAAAAAAAAAAGCAATCACCAGAAGCCCAAGTCACACCTGGTCACTACTAACACTTGGGCAGATTTGTCTTCTAATCCATTTTGTATCTTTTAAACAAAATTGGAACCATGCTAAGTATAGTTGTATGCATTAGGAGTACTTACATTTGTAAATCTAATTTACATAGGAGATGGTTAATTGTTTCACTATTAACCAGTTTCATATTTGTTGTTTTCGAATTTCTGATGTTCTAATTTTGTAGGGAATATCTTTAAACATAAATCTTTGTTTATATCTGAGTCATTTGGTAATCGGAATTACTGAGTCAGAGGGTTTGAAGAATTTGAAGATTTTTATGCATACTGCCAAACTGTCTTCCAGAAAGACTACATGACTACCGGAATTCAGCTGGTTTGGGACCGCCTACCCTCCTTGAATTTGGATTATTTTAAATTCGGGATTGAGATATTCCCCAAACTGGAATGAAGCAATAGCAGCCCATGTTTTTTAAATTTACCTTTAAGCAGACCTGTTGGGAATTCACTTAGGGATTGGTAGCTCTGGGGCTATAAGGCTTGTGGATGGTTCCTTTCGTTTTTCCCATGTGATCCTCCTCTTTACAGAAAGAGAGATTCTATGAAAGCCGCTGCAGGCCAGTGACGCCATCTTGTAAGGAACTGGCTGACCTTATGACCCGCTGCATGAACTATGATCCCAATCAGAGACCCTTCTTTCGAGCCATCATGAGAGACATCAACAAGCTGGAGGAACAGAGTAAGATTCCCCTTGGGCTGTAGTTTCACCAAGACCAGCCACTGCCTGGAGAGCAGGTTGGGAAGTGGGGGAAATAAGCTGGAACTGAGTGGCGGTCTCTCCTTTGTAAACTTGTTTTCTTTTCTGTTAGATCCAGACATTGTTTCAGAAAAGAAGCCAGCAACTGAAGTGGATCCCACACACTTTGAAAAGCGGTTCTTAAAGAGGATCCGTGATTTGGGAGAGGCAAGTTGCACTCCAGTACTCTACTGACCACATCAATTTTCACTGCATAGAAAGTCACTTTCCATTCTCTCACTGTGGGTCAGTTTATGGGATCGTGTCTGATTGTGGTGTTGGGTGTGCACACAGGACACAGAACATCTCTCTCCAGAGACTTGGTTTTCCTCTAAGGGACAGAAAAGGATGGAAGGGGAGGGGGATGGGGGAATAGGTATAAATGTGTAGAAATAGAAAAACCCTTGTCTCTGACTTTCGGGGGCATGTATATATCCTGTGAGGCCGCTTAAACGAGGGATGCCAAAATAGAATATAATCAGCTTTTTCTTTGGACTTTGAATGGTGTCTCTTAACAGTTAATGTGACCAGAGAAGCTACTGGGATTACTGCTCTATGCAGATTTTCTGTAGTTATGTAATAAATAGACTGCCTCATGTCAGGGCTGTGCTGGCATGTACAGGCCCTGTGCCCTTCAGTTTCTCACAGCCACCCTGAGGCTTTATTACTACTGTTCATATTGAGCAGCTCGGAACACTCAGTGACTGGGCCAACATCACCATCGAGTGGCTTTGCTGCAATCTAATCCCAAGGCTTCCCAAACTCCTCATGCATGCTCTTCAGCTACACTGAGGTGCCTCTCGTACATGGGTCCAAGAATGCCAGTTGTCCAGCATGTCTAGAAATAATCTTTATTTCCTTTCAGGTTAGTTCATGGAAACTGGGGTTGCTAAATTGGTTCACTAGTAAGTGGAGATGGGAAGAGGCAAGCAAAATAGGTGCTTGCTACCTGCACTATTAGGCTGTGCTGTCCACACCTGGCCCTTCTGGGAATGGCAGTAGGAACAAGCCTCATCTTCTAAGTATGTCTCGCTAGTCCAGGCTGGGGCCTCTCTGATCTGAACACATGCATCTTCCCCTCTAGGGCCACTTCGGGAAGGTTGAGCTCTGCAGGTATGACCCTGAGGGGGACAATACAGGGGAGCAGGTGGCTGTCAAGTCCCTGAAGCCTGAGAGCGGAGGTAACCACATAGCGGATCTGAAGAAGGAAATAGAAATCTTAAGGAACCTGTATCATGAGAACATTGTGAAGTACAAAGGCATCTGTACAGAAGACGGTATGCTGTGTGAAGTGGGGTTAGTCTAGAGGCTGGAAGTGACCATCTGGGGTTATAGGAGTGAGAGCTGTGCAGGTGGCGCTCCCGGTCTTCCCTGGAATGCCTGGACACACCTGCCACTGCCCCATGAGCTCTGGGGCTTTGAGGTTGTGGGCACTGTGAAACCCCTCAGCTTTAGGGCTGTCAGGGAAGCTGCTCAGGCTCTGAATACCCACTGGGGACCGGACTTCACCCATCCTGGTATTTTTACTTAGGGCACTTACACCATCTGAAACACATGCCCCCCCCCCCCCCCGTCTTATCCAGTACTAGCTCTAGCTATGAGTTCCTTTTCTAGTTGCCTAAATCAAGTGACAGGTATTTATTAACGCGCATCTCTTTTGCAAGCCAGCACAATACTTAATTTTAAGAAGTTTCATTTGCCTGGTGGTTCCCGAGGACTGTTTTGTTACCTCTTGAGTGCTGATGACACACGTGCTGCTATCCCTGTTCACTACCGAGGATCCGATGCTCTGGGGCTTATTAACTAGCTTACAATTAAGGGGGGATGGGGAAAATACTTTAGAGCCTCTGTTTTCACGTCCTGTACCCTGTACTCACAGTTCCTTCATTTTTCGTACCTCAGACTGATGGGTGCTTTTTTAATCCTAAACAGGAGGAAATGGTATTAAGCTCATCATGGAATTTCTGCCTTCTGGAAGCCTCAAGGAGTATCTTCCAAAAAATAAGAGCAAAATCAACCTCAAACAGCAGTTAAAATATGCAGTTCAGATTTGTAAGGTAAAGAGCATGTGAGATTAAAATCATTTTACATTATTTGGATAAAAATTAGTCTCCTAAAAAAGTGAACTGATAAGGATGCTGGGCCCCCCCGGTGGCGCAGTGGTTGAGCGCCGGGTTGCGAAGCTGCCCGCGGCCTCTGCAGCTCCGGTTAGATCCCCGGCTGCTCCCCGGCCACCGGAGGAGGGTCCCACATGGCGCGCAGACCTCTCCTGCCGCCCGCTGCTCCCCTCAGCAGTGTACTTCGGTCCTTCTGCCTGCTCTGCTCCCCACTCTGGCTCTGGTGAATTCTCTCACCCTCCCGCGCTTCTGACTGTACCCAGTGCTTGTATAAATAAATAAATAAATCTTTAAAAAAAAAAAAAACTTTAAAAAAAATTTTTAAAAAAAGGATGCAGATGTAATACGTATTTCATCACCTCAGTTTTCTTATTCTTGGTAAAAAAAAAAAAAGGCAAATGAAATGACGTTTGTACTTTATTATGTGGCAGTGGATAAAAAAATAACAATTTGAACTGACATGCTCTACTTAATTCCCTCAGGGAATGGACTACCTGGGGTCTCGGCAATACGTTCACCGGGATTTAGCAGCAAGAAATGTCCTTGTTGAGAGTGAACACCAAGTGAAAATTGGAGACTTTGGCTTAACCAAAGCAATTGAAACTGATAAGGAGTACTACACGGTCAAGGACGATCGGGACAGCCCTGTGTTTTGGTAACGATCGATCAGGTTTCATCAGGGGTTCATAGAGTTTCTGCTGTTTCGATGGGCCCTTTTTAGCCAGAGTGATCTCTTTTTTTTTCCTGCCTGAGCTAAGTTTGGAGAAGATTTAAAATATTGTTCATCTGACAATGCCTTTAAAGCTCTTAGCACCTCCTGGTTAGAAGGCCATGCCCTGACTTCAACCCTGCTCAATCTGGAGAAACTACTTAAGTTCTCCCCCAGACCCATAAAAACAACCAGCACTGGGATGTACATCCTGTATGGATACAACATGCATCTCTCCTACTCAGGGAGCCTAAATCTATCAAATAAGCATTGAGGCCCTACTTTGTGCCAGGTACTAGTGAACTATTGAGCAGTTTAATGAATGAGGCAGCCAGTTTGGTGGTACTGTAAGAACAGTTCAGACTTGTTTTTTAAATCCTTCAAAGACTCTTGGGAGTATATGGAGATGGCTGGAAGGCATGTGTGAGTAAAAGGAAAGAGCAGTGGTCATCCCGGGAATGGAAATCAGCTTGATGTGGCTAGATCATGAAGAGACTTGAAAATAAGACAGAGCACTGGAAGGTAAATTATGGAGCTAGTACTCCAGCCCAAGAGTTTTAGGGTGCCTCTGAAATAAAAGGGTGCAGGATTAGAGCCAGAAGTCTGATTCTGCCAGAGCTAGTGATCGTATGAACTAGGCCAGTGATTAGTATGATGACAGCAGGGGTTAGAAAAGTAGATGGGGACAGAAGTATTTAGGAAACTGGACATGGTTTTCTGGCTGAGTTGGGCAGTTGTTGGGGCATCACTCACCACAACAGTTGACATTAGAGGAGGAGTATGCAGTGAAATCACTGCTGACTCACTCAGAGCCATCAGGCAAATAAACCAGGGGCGAGTACCTGCTCTGTGGAGTGAGGAGCAGAAACATGAGGTGCTGTTGTGTGGGGGCAGAACTGGACTACTGAGGGCGTGGAAAGGCTGCATGTCAGATGCATCCCCCAGCAGCAGATGTGCATAGTGTGGAATACCAATACAGCCTAGACTACTCTGAAGAAAAACTGAATGGGTGACTTCCTGAGTTACTCTGTAATGTTTATTGGGATAGCTGTCCCAGGAAATGAAGGTCTGTTCTTTCTTTTAGGTATGCTCCAGAATGTTTAATACAGTGTAAATTTTATATTGCCTCAGACGTCTGGTCTTTTGGAGTCACTCTGCATGAGCTGCTTACTTACTGTGATTCAGATTCCAGTCCCATGGCAGTAAGTTTTCCTTGTCTCCCCGGAATGTATGTATCCCCCTGCCTTGTAGGTGTATTACACTGGAAAGACACTTTCCACCTAGTTGATGTTTTTAACACTTACCTTTGTAGCTCTCTCTAGTCTTGGTTTCACAAGTAGCCCGAAATTCTGATGACAAGGGTTCTCTCTGTGGGCAGGCTCATGGAATAAGGATGGATGCCTTATTTATTCCTAAATGAAATCATTCTCCTTGATGAGGCTCCTTGACCAGGCGGGGTTGGTAGAGTCTGAATGATTACAGACTGATCATTGAGTGCTAATAAGGATTTTGGACTTGGATTTAATACTGCTAAGGACAAAAGCATGTTTATTTCCATTTCTAGAAATCTTCCCTCATTCTGTATGCTAATTTTATGAATGTGTGAAAATTAAAAACATTTTGCTTGGTTTTCTTTTAATAGTTGTTCCTGAAAATGATAGGCCCAACTCATGGCCAGATGACAGTAACAAGACTTGTGAATACATTAAAAGATGGAAAACGTTTGCCTTGTCCACCGAACTGTCCAGATGAGGTATCTATGGGCCACTCTACAGTGGTAAAACTCAATGATTCCTAGCTTGAGTTAGGGAAAGGGGGGGTAAAAAGCAAAAAAATGGTTTTGTGAGAGGTCCTCTCTGGGAAAATGACAGGTATACATTATGTATAACCAAGGATTGCCTCCCATTGTAGGCTTACCTTAGTGCACGTTTTGACAGCTCCTTATCGTAACAAACACAAGAATGCAGTTTACATGTATCTATGCTAGGTAGTAATAGCACTTACGAGTTTACCCTTTCGGTTAAGAATGAAACCACCATTGTGGGAAATTGAGTCTAAACGACTTCACCCATAAACAGTGCCCTGTATTCTTTTTGAAGGTCAATTAACACATTAGCGTCTCAATTTTAAAATACCAAAGTGTAGTTGCTGTATTTTTTCTTATGAGATACGCTTGTTGTCTACTCTTATTTTTTTACAGTTATACCAACTTATGAGAAAATGCTGGGAACTCCAACCGTCTAATCGGACAACTTTTCAGAGCCTTATTGAAGGATTTGAAGCACTTTTAAAACAACTACCATGAATGGCATTCAAATTCCACCGCGCATCAAGTCATCCTCCCTCCCTGCCCCTCAGGAAATACTTAAGCCATTTAAAAAAATTTTTAATGGAAAAAAGTTGGTATTCTGTGTGAAAAGATACCTGGGTCAGACCCATGTGTAAGTACTACTACTTTTCATTTTGGCACCAGTAGCACACTCCTCTTGGAAAGAAGATACGACCATTTTCTCTGGTTTACCAACACAGTTACTTATCAAAATGGGATTTTTCAGACCAAAACTCTGAAGAGGAGGATTGCTTTTTCCCCAGCTGCCATTTTTTTGTGGCACCTGCCCTCAAATTTTAGTGTCTCTACAGTGCTAGACCAGTCATTCTTGAAATAATAGATGAGTGTATTCCTGTCACCAGTAGGACTTCAACTTTTGTTTCTCCAGTGGCTTATTAGCTCCTGTCCTCCTCTTGAGAAATCACTGAGCTGTCCCCAGGGGGAATAGATACTTTGCTGCATGATGTTTAATTTTTGAAAACTGTGCCAGTGCTTTCCTAAACAGCATACCATTAATCAGAATTGATTCTGAGACCCTGGATGCTATAATATGTGCTTTTAAGAAATGTCCATGTATATCCTTTTGTGACTCTACCACTTTGGAGCGAGCTGTTCCAGTATTGGTTTGGGATGCTGTCTACAACCAGTCAGAATGCACTGTTCTTAGAGCGTTTCGTACTTACCATAAATACTTCCCATCCTTCTTCAAAGAGACGATTACTATTTTGACCATCACTCTATGGCACAAAACTTGCAAGACCCAGCTAGATGCACTATGGGGTTCAGGATCCACTAGCGTTTTTCACTTTCTTGCAGGTTGACCAACATTGTTTCATAGCTTTACCTTTCAAAACCTTTAATTGATTCAGTGGTGATAAACTTGCCATTTAAATTTGTCCAGTAACCCTGCATCACCAAGGTCTCTTGTCTGTGTCAAACCTGTGGCCACTCTATATGCACTTTGTTTACTCTTTATACGAATAAATGTACTAGAGACTTCACATGCATATGCCTTTTAATATTAAGATTTTGTTTTCAAAGCATTTCAAACAACTTGTTTACATAGAAAATACGGGGGGGGGGGGAGGGCCTGGGAATGGTCCTTAGTATTACCACTTGATTTGTACTTAGCTGTTCAATGACAGTGGGGCACAGACCTGTACAAATGGCAGATCCAAAGAATCTTTTAGTTCCTTCAACCTCTTCCTACTTTCCTTTGATTTAAAATCTACTGTCACAGAGGTGTGACTAAGCATTGAAGAGGATTAATTCAACGGGAAAATTGGAAGGAGAAAGCAGAGCATGGAATCATCCAATTATTTACTGAGTCGTACCTATCCACTACTTACAGGTAGTATATGTCTTAGAAATTACCTTTTAGTTGTCATTTTCCAGTAGAGGTGAATACATGCTTACACCAAGTAAAATTCTTTACAACATACACCAGTCTTAAACTTCATAATTAAAACAGGATAGGTTCCTTAGTAAGTCTACCAATTTACAAGATATTTAATGATCTCACTTTGGAAGTCTCAATGACCCCAGTCCTTTTAAACTCTTTAAAATCTCATAACAAGGCACAAACTTAGCAATTTTCTGATGGCAGAGTCTCATGCAACTACCAAGGTCTTCAGGAAATGGTGATGGAAAGTTATATGCAATAAACAATTCTTTCACATGTAAATTGAATAAGAGACAATGAGGTATAGCTTATCAGCTTAAAATGGTAATAAATAGTTACTTCCTAAGACTGCTTCAGAAGGGACGCTAATATTATAGAAATGCGGGGTTTGTGTAATCATGCCATGAGGAAACAATGAAACTTAATATTTCTTGCCACTTACAAATACGTCGCAGAATTTAAAGGTTTCTCTACAAAGGAAATACCTTACGCTTTGCAGGTACTGTGGTCTCTCACACCTATTCAGCTCTACCATTGTAGCACAAAAGTAGTTATATGAAAATGAACTTCATCATCATCCAGGGAAATTTTCTGCACATATACTTTTCCAACCATTTATAAATGTAAATATTTCTTACCTTGCAGGCAGTACACAAACAGGTAGAAGACTGAATCGGCCCCCAGAGAGTTTTGCCAAACCCTTATAATTAATTTCCCAAAACTACTTAACCTTTCTTGTTTCTCTCAAAAGGTATAAATCGTAAATAACATTAAAAGTACAACATCTGTACACGGGTATACCTTGGATGTTGTGACCATCACTCTGCATTTGGGTTTTATACTGTGTGGGAGGTTAATAATTTAGTTTGCTTGTAGAGTATCTTTATAACATTAATTACCATCACTGCCTTTTGTACTGGCGTGCTTAGAGTTGTAGGAAAAGTTCTGAAAATCTATAAAGGAGATTACCTCTAGTGAAAGTAAAGTGAAATGTACATTGGCTTTACAAGAAATTCATTCTTCTAAGGCTTAGGAAACAAGAACTGTTTCCTATTTATTGCTTCAAACTTATATATGGTGTCAAAATTATTCCTAGTCCTAAAACTAGGAATAATGTTAATTTCTCCCAATGAACTGTAAGTTAATACCACATTAAGATGCATCTAATTCTAGTGGAAAATGTCCTCAATTGACATCTCTTATTGCTACTTATTTTTTGGCAGTTCTGCCTGCTGCACAACACAGTTCCTTATGGGAAATTACAAACCCGTATTTAAAGGATATGGCTAGTTTGAATGTAGTTAAGGCAGCAAGGAACAGCAGAAATACTGCAGAGAACCTTATGAGGCTATTGGGTGAAAACTTAACTCAGTATACGCGCTTCTTTTTTAAGTAGGTTTCCATATAATACGTTCCTGTGCCCTGAGAATGCTGGTCAACAAATTCTACTGAACCACCTTCTGGGGCAGAGACGAGATAAGAGGAGCCTCGCTTTTCATTTCTTAAAGATGAAACCTATGAAAGAAAGAAAAATAAGTCACCACTAATGCTAAAATCTAAGTTCAATATTGATTTAGTATTCAAGATTCTTAAAAGGCAATGCCACTTCCAATTTGGTATAAAAATATTCGTTTGTTAAATAAGTCTGTTAAGTTTTTACATCACAATAACTTACAGAACTTAAGACAGCCTGAGTACCCTTTGCACACCAACATTTTGGGAAAGAAAAAAAAGACACTGATCGCACTATTGATACGGAATCATAAACACCAATAATGCTCCAAGGAGAGTGTGTGACTATAATGTCAATGAAAATAGCAATTGTAGAAAGCAATGTGAACTCAAACTTTAGTTGTAGAACACTCACCTGGAAAACATGTTGAAATGCAGACTTTCGGGATCTACCCCAGACACGCTGATATTTAAGTGATCATAAAAAGGGCCTAAATGCTCCTCACCAGTAATCATAGCAATCACACTAAATCAGATACACAGCATAACCCCGTGACCTAAATCCTCTAATTTAGTTTACAAATAGAATTCAAATTACTTGTTTTTATTTATTTTTTAAGATTTATTTACTTATGCATATAAGAGCTGGGGTACGGGCCAGAGATGTGGAGGGGTGTGTGTGAGAGGATTCACCAGAGACAGAGCGGGGAGCAGAACAGTGATTGACTGAAATACACTGCTGAGGGGAGCAGCGGGCAAGACAGGAGAGGTCTGCTGCGCCATGTGGGTTGCTCCCTGGCTGGCTGGAGATTGAACTCCTGCTGCAGAGGCTGCGGATTGCTTCATAGTGTGATGCTTAATCCTTTGCGCCACCAGGGAGGCCCGGATTACTTGTTTCGGGTTTTTTTTTTTTTTTTAAAGATTCATCCATTCATTTATACAAGCACTGGGCACAGTCAGAAGCACGGGAGGGTGAGAGGACTCACCAGAGACAGAGCAGGGAGCAGAGCAGGCAGAAGGACCGAAGTACACTGCTGAGGGGAGCAGCGGGCGTGGCAGGAGAGGTCTGTCACACCATGTGGGACCCTCGCTGGCGCCTAGGGATCGAACCGGCGCTGCAGAGGCTGTGAGCAGCTTTGCAGTCCAGTGCTCAACCACTGCGCCACAGGGGAGTCCCCAGATTACTTGTTTTTATTTTTTTATTTATACAAGAGCTGGGGTATAGGCCAGAGTCGTGGGAGAGTGAGAGGATTCACCGGAGACAGAGCGGGGAGCAGAACAGGCAGACAGACTGAAAGCACTGTTGAGGGGAGCAGCGGGCAAGGCAGGAGAGCTCTGCCTCGCCATGTGGGATTCTCCCTGGCCGGCCAGGAATCGAACCAGCACCGCGGAGGCTGTGGACAGCTTCACAGCGTGGCACTCAACCGCCTGCACCACCAGAGAGGCCCACAGATTCCTTGTTTTTAAAGCAATGCTCACAATTTTAAAAACTAGTCAACTTTAGAGACGACGGGTAGTTGTACCTCCTTGTATGTAAGGTAGTTCTCAAACACTGATATTAAGAGCTAAAGCGACGTTAACCCAAGATGGTAAGCTAGGAAGCTCCCTCCCATGAATGCACTGACTGTACAGCTACATGTGGAACAAGTTCCTCTGCAAGAGACTGAAAAACTCGCAGAGTGCATGGCTAAAACATTTGTGCCATGAACTCTTAACTTGTCGTTTCTACTAAGGACAAACTACACCTAGTTTAGAAGACCAGTGACACTTGTGTCCATGAGATTGAAAACCTAGGAAATCAAATTCCTAAGAGCACTCCTCTCTCAACTTTTCTCCAGAAGAGGTTTACCTACATACTTTAAAAGCTACTGCTTGAGGATCAGGCTTCTAACCTAATGGGTAGAAGCTGGCTGTGCTCTTCCCCAGATAACAGGGGATTTGGAGGACACCTTTTTCCAATACTGTACGCCACTAAAATCTCCCCTGAAAGAGCCTGCAGCCAATAACTCAGTTTTCATGGCTGCCACATAAGGGCTGGTTGCTAGGTCATCTGATAGCCAACATACATCCATGAGTCCCAGAGGACTGCAGTAAACAAAAAGCCTAATGGCTTTATCTTACACCCCGCACCCCCTAATGTCTATATGGCAGGCGCAGCAGGAACAGGTGAAGGTGCCCATCACCATTTCTCCCTGGAAGGGGTTTAACTACATACTTAACTCTGCTTATGCCTGAGAGTCTAATGAGTCTGCAAGGTCTTAGCACACTCTTGACTACTGATGCTAGCAGTCACAATGACAGAAGTTTAAGATACAACCGGGACGATCAAGGCTCATCTTCTATATGACATCACTCTACCAACACTGGTGTAGGTGGCTATTTTATCTAATACGTAGAAACCAACAAAGAGAATCAAGGAAAATGAAGACACGGCAATATGTCCCCAGCAAAAGAAGTAACTATCCAGAAACAGATTCCAGTGAAACAAAATAAGTGATTCACCTGATAGTGTGCAAAATAAAGTCACCAAGGTCAGTAGAACAAGGCATGAACAAGAGAATGTCAATGGAGACGAAGTATTTTAGAGTGCCAAACAAATGAGAGCTAAAGAATACAAATACCTGTATGATATAAGCACAATAACTGAATTGAGCAAATGGAGGTCAATAGCGGGCAAACACAAAACCAGGTCAGTGCATAACTGATCCAATTAGAGTTGCAAAAAAAAAAAAAAAGGATAGTTTATGCAGTTTAATATTAACCATCAAGTAGATAAATATACACATTTTAGGGGTTTCAGAAAGAAAAGGGAGAGCAAAGAGCTTGTTCAAAAAATTAATGTCTGATAACTTCCCCAATCTGGGGAAAGATACCAAATCCTCAAGAAGCACCAAAAAAGATAAAGAGGACCAAACTGAGGCACAAACTGTCACACATTAAAGACAAGGAGAAGCAAGAAAAAAGCAACTGTCACATAAGGAAATCCTATTTTTCAGCAAAAATTATCTAGACTAGAAGGGATGACATGTTCAAGGTATGAAAGAAAACACAAACTAAGACTGTTCTTTAGAACTGAAGAAACTGTTTTTCTGTTTGCTTTAACAAAAGCAAGGAGGAGCTTCTCACCATTAGACTGGCCTTCTATGAAATGTCTTAAAGATGAAAAGATGATGAATATCAGGAAAACAAAAGTGTAACATGCACTGGGGTAAAGACAAATTCAGGGCCTTTCTGGTGTTGCAAGGGGTTAAGCACCGCACTATGAAGCGGTCCACAGACTCTGCAGCACAAGTTCGATCCCTGGCCTGCCAGGGAGCTACCCACATGGCACAGCAGACCTCTCCTGTCTCGCCTGCTGCTCCCCTCAGCAGTGTACTTTGGTCAGTCTGCCTGTTCTGTTCCCCACTGTCTCTGGTGAATCCTCTCTTCCCCCGCATCTGTGGCCTGTACCCCACCTCTTGTATGCATAAATAAATCTTTAAAAAAAAAGATAAATTCATAATAGTCTAATGTAATGGTGGTGGGTAAATCATAATTATATGAAAGTTAAATGACAAAATTACTATAAAATATCTTAATGGATATGTAATATAAGGTACAAACTGATACCACAAACCAAGTGCAGGTGTTGGGAAAGCTTTTCTATGCACTGGAAGCTGTCTAAGACTAACTTTCATGTCATGTGGTAACCACAACAAAAGCCTAGGTGTGTGTATATATACGTATGACAAAAAGGAATCAAGCATATAACTACAGAAAATCATTAAACCACAAAGATCTCATAAAGAGAAGAAGGAACAGGAATGACAAAACCACCCTAAAGTAAGTAGCAATTTTAAATCCACACGTATAATTACTTTAAATGTAATGGGCTAGATTCTCCAACAAAAGACATACAGTGGCTTCTGATTAAAGGAAAAAAAAAAGTCACGCTCCTACTGTATATATTGGTTACGAGTCTCATACCACAACTTCTAAGACATTTACACAAAAAGTGAACAGATGGAGGAGATAATCCACACACAAGGAAACCAAAGGGAAGCAAGGACAGCCATACTTAGAAAAAATAAACTTTAGTCAAAGAATGTAAGTAGACAAGGAAGTTATTATAAAAGAAGGGTCAGCTAATCAAGAGGACATAATTGTAAAAATCTCTGAACCCAAATTAGGAGCAACAGTAATAGTTCTGAAAGGAGAAATCACAATATAATAATGGTAGGTTACTTCAACATTCTACTTTCTTTCATTAATGGATAGACCATCCGGACAGAAAATCAAAAACAATTAACATTAAACTATACATTAGACAGACCTAACATATAGAGAGACATGATCTATCATGGAGAATGTTCATCATAGGTACAAAACAAATCAATAAATTTAAGAAGACTCAAGTAATAGCAAACATCTTTTTCAACCACAATGGTATGAAGCTAGAACTCAATTACAAGGATAAACTGGAAAAAATCAGAAATGTGTGAGCAACATGGCTCTAGAAAACCCAGTATGTCAAGAAATCAAAAGAAAAATGAAAAATTATCTTGACACAGGTGAAAATGGAAATCCAAATCAACATATCCAAACTTACTGAATGCAGGAAAACCAGTTTTAACAGGGAAGTATATAGTGATAAGTAACCTATTAAGAAAGAGCTCAAGATGATTTTAAAAAAGAAGGAAACTAAGCCCAGAGCTAGTGGAAGGAAGGAAATAACAAAGGTTAGTGGAAATATGAAACAGTGACTAAAAAGATCCATGGAACTAAGCTGGTTTTTGAAGAAAAATTAGATTCACCAAGAAAAGTTACAAACAAAAGTGTAGACACCACTATGAATAGTTACATGCAAATTATTAATACTAACTTCTCAAACTTTTACAAATATAGGAAAGGATACTTGTAAATCATTTTATAAAGCCAGCATTACCCTGATACCAAGTCATGGAAAGCACATTACCAGAAAAGAAAATTACAAGTCATTCTCTGATGACAACAAAAATGCAAAAATGCTTAACAAAATATTGGCAAACCAAATCCAGCAATTCATTTAAAAGGATTATATACCA